GCTAAAGTGTTATGATTATTCGGTTTATTCTTAACATTAACACTATACAATAAGGATCCATTCCTTTATTACCAATACATAGTGCTTTTTAACAATGCATAATTGTGTACAAAATAAAAGTTTGAATTTTCCTAAAGTATGTGTACAACACCAAACCAGAAAAAGTTGGGACAGTATGGAAAACACATAAACAAAAAGAAAGCTGTGATTTCTAAATTTACTTTGACTTGTATTTCATTACAGACAAAACAACAAACATTATCTAATGTGTTCCTTGTGATTTTATTGTTTATTTGTTTATTGTTTCAAAATAAACACGTATTCCAATTTTGGTTCTTGCAACACATTTCAAAAAAGGTTGGGACATGAGCACTTAGGGCTAGTAATCAGGTAAATTGGTTAACAAATGCCAGTTAAACCTGTATTGTGACAAAAGGAAGCCCTATGTTAACAGTGTCCATAAGCGTCGTTGACTTCTCTGGGCTCTGAGGCATCTGAGCTGGACCATCACACAGTAGAAACATGTACTGTGATCAGATAAATCAGTTTTTCAGGTATTTGTTTGGGAGAAATGGACGCCGTGTGCTCCAGACGAATTAAGATAAGGATCATCTTTTTTGGGCAAGTCCAAAAGTCAAGAGTCTGTCATGGTATGGATGTGTTAGTGCCTTTGGCAAAGGTAACTTGCACTTCTGTGATGGGACAATTAGTGCTGAAAAGTACAGAGAGATTTTGGAGCACAATATGCTGACATTTCCAGGAACACCCATGCATATTTCAACAAGACAGTGCAAATCCACATTCTGCATGAATTACAAAGTCCTGGCTATGGAGAATACATGTACATGATAGGCCTTTCTGCAGTCCCGACCTGTCTTCAATAGAGAATCTGTGGAGCATTTTGAAGTGCAAAATGCAACAATGAAGACCTTGTGCTGTTGCTCACTTTAACACTTGTTTACAGGAAGAAGGGGGACAAAATTACATCTAAAACACTTCATTACTTGCTTAGCAAAATCCTCTGAGTAAACTTTACTTAGTTCAGAGAGTATTTGGTCCCTCTTTAAATAATGGCAAATAGGTTGGTAAAAAGTAAAGCTGCTGTTTTTGTGGAGTTGCTTAATGATCCTCTGTTGAGATTTTGAGAGATTCAATGTATTATATTTTCACTGATTTCATTTAAGGCTGCGACTGAAGTCAGTTGTAGTTTTGTTTCTCTTTTGGTTTGTGCTTATTAACAGCAGGTGTTCATCATTAGTGCTCAATCATATCTTAATTAATCCTTTCATTGACTCATTAACTTGGGTAACTTTTACTCAATTTAGAGAGGGACCAAATACTATCTAAACTGAGTACATTTTACTCAGAGGATTTTGCTGTGTGGTGTCTTCAGGCTCTAAACGTCTTTAAAGTGTTGTATAAAGGAATGGCAAAATTACAAAGTGATAAATGCTTTACTGTTTCAACTATTTTTAAAATGTGTTGCAAGAACCAAAATTGGACTGTGTCAGAGCTTAATTTGTGCCGGAAAACTCCGGATCCGCAACCTCTGAAATCTGAGCCGACACCTTACTGATCCATCTACTCACCCGCTCTCCTCCCCCATCCGTTGTTCACCTTTACTTTGTTCCGCAAAGGTGCGCGACACCTCTACATCTTCGGGTAGTATGCCAGAACCGTTACCGCGATCTGTTCCAGGACCTCGCGATTCACAAATTAAGCACTGGTTGTATTGTTTGTCTAAAATGAAATACAAATCAAAGTAAATTTAGAAATAACTTCTTTTTTATTTGCCATTTTCATACTGTCCCAACTTTTTCTGATTTGGGTTTGTATATATTTTGTTATATATAGACTCAAACTCAACTTTATTATCCCATTTAGGGAAACTAAAATTGCAGCAAGGTGCCGTAACCCAGGCAAAGTTCCATGTACACATTAGCAAAATATTACCACATAATATACAATACATCATTTTGTAGGTGCATCTCCAACCCCACTGGACTCATTCAATGACCTAATGGCATTATAAAAGAATTACTAGTTCTGTTTGTCCTGCAAATAGAAACTCTAAAATGATGTCCTGATGGCAGCAGCTGAAACATAGAGTACAATGGATGATTCTGGGTGCATAGGATAGCCTGAGCTCTCTTTAAAACACAAGTACGGTAAATTACCAGTGGACCAGTTTGGTTAAAACCAATGACCTTGCCTGCCAGTTTCACCAGGCTACTCAACCTGTTCGTATTTGACAAACTCAGATCACCGTACCAAGCTACAATGCAAAAAAGATAAAACAGATTCAATAAATTGTTTATAAAGCAGTCATCCTAGAGGCACAAACCTGAAACCATCTAAGTTTCCTCAGAAAAAACAGTCTGTGTTGAAGTTTTTTACAGACAGCCTGAGTGTTCGATTGAAAGTCAAAATATTGTCAACAACGACCCCTAGATATTTATTTGTGTCAACAATTTCAATGTCTAAGCCTTTAATATTTGTGATGCTGGGGGTAGGAGAAGCCTTCCTGGAATCTATCACCATGTCTTTTGTTTTATTTACGTTCAACTGGAGAAAAAAATCCATCACACCAGGAAGTAAATATTTTAAATATAAAGACGGTGACACTTTACAATAAGGTAATATTGACGTTACTAACATGAACAAACAACAGACAATACATTGATTACAGTATTTATTCCTCTTTGTTAATGTTAGTTAATGTAAATTAAGTTGTTTGTTGTTAGCTCATGTTAATCCGTTAACTAATTCATTTTAACTAATGTTAACAAGCATGATAGCGATTAATGATAATTTCATGAGTTCACATTTAGCTCATGATTTATACATAGCTTGTTTGGCGTGCAGTCCCAGGAGATAGCCCTGAGCTCAAGGGATCCTCGGGCCCAGGGCTCCCACCTTTTTGCAGGGCGAGGGGAAATTGAGCTCAGGTCGATCTCAAACTCCCCTGTTGCTAAGGCCAAGGTGAATTTCCTTTAACCATTACAAAAAAGATTTAGGCTTATTTTATCTATAATAGAGCATAGTTGGATGGTGTGAGGAACCTGGGGGAAACCCACGCAGACACAGGTTAGAACATAAAAACTCCACATAGAAATACCAGATGAGGACCCAACGCCATAGGTGCTAGTCACATTCTGGATATAGGTGGATGAAGGGGAGGAGGTGTGGTTTCTCCAGACGAAGATATTTGTAGAAAGGAAATGAGGATATATATATATATATATATATATATATATATATATATATATATATATATATATATATAAAGTGACTTGGGATCCTTTAAATAATTAGCTAATGTGGGTCAATCATGAGCACGTGCTCCTTTCAAAATTAGTTTAAATTGAATCTTCACGTATTAGTGAATGTTGAAATATTGTTCATAAATGCTTTACAAGTATTATTCGTTATTAGTTTGTTAAATACATTAACCAATAATGAAACATTTTCTAAAGTGGCCATGAATACCCATAAAATTGTATTTTCATACTGTATAAGCGTGTGTATATATCTATAAAATATTGTGTGTACTGTGTATATTTATTATGTAAATCCAAACGTTTATTTTGTATGCCATTAGTCGAGATTACAGCATTTCTTACAGTAATTATTCATCTTTGAGAACATTACTTAATGAAAATTTAGTCAATCATTGTTAGTTCATGCTAAAGTGATTAAAGTTAATATTCTCTCCATATTTACTCACCCATGAGTGGTTCCAAACCTTTCTTGAGTTTCTTTTTTCTGTTGAACACTAAAGAAGATATTTTGAAGAAAGCTGAAAACCTGTAACCATTGACTTTCATAGTAGGAAAAACAAATACTATGTAAGTCAATGGTTACAGGTTTTCGGGTGTGTTCAGCAGAAAAAAATATGAACTAGCGGTGACAGGGTCAACATGATATGTTGAAATTTCATTATTTTGATAAATGCAGAGTAATGTCAAAATGCATACAAAATGTCAAAAATGCTAATCAATTTTTATTGACCACCTTGATATCAAAATGACATCAAATTGACATCTAACACTGATGTAAAAAAACTACAAAGGTAGTTTTTATGAATTATATGGATACAAAATCCAGTGAAAATTTCAAAATAGCTATCAGATAAAACTTAATAAATACTTTTTCTGTCGTTATTTTGGTGATCAAAATGGCATCAATTTGTGGATGTCAAATAGACGTCAAGGTTTTGATGTGAAAACGATTAGCATTTTTGATGGGGTTTGTTTTGTTTATGTTTTCTTATATTATAATACTTACGTCATTATTTTGGTGGTCAATATGTGGATGTCAAATAGACGTCAATGTTTTGAGGCCAAAATGATTTGTATTGTTTCTGTGTCAATTTGATGTCATTTTGTTATTTTATCTTTAAATAAAATTATTCAATCATTAAATCATGTATATTTTGTCTGTTAAATGTCATTAAGAGAAGCTTTTAACATGTTTTTGTTACAGTAGAGGTCATGTGAGGTGGTGTCAATCAGTGTAGTTCTGGACAATCTCATTGCATATGTTGAAATAAAAGTAATATTTCAATATTTTGATAAATGCATGGTAAATGTTACGCAGAGGGCACCTTGATGTCAAAACAACATAAAGAAAAATGTTAAAAATGCTTATCAATTTTAATTGACTGCCTTGATATCAAAATGACATTAAATTAACATCTAACACTGATGTCAAAAAAGATGTCAAAAATGATTACAGGACAGACCTGTATACATTTTTGACGTTTTTTGGCACCAATGTTAGATGTCAATTTGATGACAAGGTAATTTACATGAATTGTATTGCTACAAAACCAAGTAAAATTATTCAGATAAAACTTTTTCTTATATTATAATACTTTAGTCATTATTATGGTGGTCAAAATGGCATCAATGTGGATGTCAAATAGACGTCAAGATTTTGACATCAATACAATTAGCATTTTGACATCAAGTTGCGTGCTGGGAGGCTGCTTCCACATATTTTGGGCATTATGGAAGACTAGTGATTTTGTTGTTGTGACGTCATCAGTACTGACAACAAGTCACAGTCTGCCTCAGTGACCAGAATCCACTCGTCATGCACTTTTTCATCCAGCAACAAAGATGACATTGTGCCTATATGTAGTCTGAGATGTTAAAAGGTTTAAATATTTCTATAACAATATTCCATCACATTCTGGGAGCATTTTAATGAATGTGTTTATCCGCTTTACTGTTTTCTTCTCACTCTGGATATGTGTACTCTAAATAAAAGCAATAAAAAGAAATATGCCTCTTTTTTGCCCATCTGACATATGTTGCTTAATAAAACCTAAATAAGATTTCATGCACATGCATAAGAATATCAGATAACTTGACTGTACAGATATATGAAAGACATCCATTTTCGGAAAAGGTATGGGCCAGAACCAAATGTCACATTGTGAATAGGAAATAATACTGTACTGTAAGTCCAATTAAAAAAATGTGAGGTCAAATATGCATGATTTGAATATGAGCATAAGTTTAATTAACGTAAAGAAACTATTTGTTATGTGTTACATGTAATGGCTCAATTGTATAATTGCATAATCCAGGGGTCACCGATCTCGATCCTGGAGGGCCGGTGTCCCTGCAGGGTTTAGCTCCAACTTGCCTTAACACACCTGTCTGGGTGTTTCAAGCAAACCTAGTAAGACCTTGATTAGCTTGTTCAGGTGTGTTTGATTAGGGTTGGAGCTCAAATCTGCAGGACACCGGCCCTCCAGGAAAAAGTTTGTTGGCATAAACAATTGTTGGTCGATTTTTTTTTTTTTTTGTTACCTTCACATTGTTGTGCTGTTTAAATTTTGCTGATGAGACTAAAACTAAACGGGTTTCATATTGACAACTTTGCTGTTCCAAATTTTCATTAAAGATTGTTTACATTTTTTTCTTTATTAAAGACAGATAAGAGAGAATTTTGAGTTGATTGCCATATCAGCCATATGTCATATGTCAAAAAAAAAAAAAAACAGATCAAGTTTAACACATTTTTTATCACTAATATATTAATATTCTAACAATTAAAAGTCATCTACAGCAATGTATTAAAGACCCATTACAATGCAGTGTAAACTATGACAATGCTCCTTTTTTCTCTGAATGAATGAGAAGCTGTGAAAGGTGAGCGCCAACCTTATTTCACCATTGGACATGAGTAACATCTATGTTGATCTAAGAACAACATTTCAATCAGCTAATCAGAATTAAGGGAAATGTTTACCGGTTGTGTTCAGTTTAAGCTTACGGGTTCATGCACTTCCATGATTTTTATCCAACTATTATTCCCCTCCGATTTTGGGAATAATTCACAGTTGGTTGGGTTTAGGTATGGAATAAAAAATAAAGATATTTCAGGATAAACATAGATGTTAATCCAGGAGAGCATCGAATTGGCAAAATCAAAATGTGCAAAGGTGAGTGTAATAAAGGCCTAATCTACTATTTAAAATCGGTTTTAATCATCCACACACAGCAGATTATACTCATTGTTGAAACATCAAAGTTCCATTTTAACAAGTATCCAAAATTAAACACTTTTTAGCTTATATCGACCACAAAACCATATTGGCAAAAATGCAGGTCAAAGATTAGATTCAAAATCATTTGAATAATAAGTAAATTCTAATCCATGAAGGCATGTTGTAAATTTCCTACTGTAAATAAAAATTTGATGAATCAAAATTTGTGCAACTAACTTCATTTTAACATCTCAACTCAAAAGCTGATTTTCTCAACATTCAGATTTTCATATAACTTTACCCATGGAAAGCTTATTTGTTCAGCTTTCAGGTGAGGTAGGCTATTAATCTTATTTTTAAAAAGACATTTAGGCCTAATGAATGGTTTTGTGGTCCAGGGTCAGAAATAATGTAGGCTAGGTGAAAAACATTACAAAAATGAATATGTATGAGTTCCTAAAGTAGCCTAGATAAACAAGTAACATGATTTAACGGGGGAATATTAACACATATACTGTAATAGTCTACTACACTGTGAAAAGTATCTGCTAATTAACAGTTTCCGTGTTTTATGATTCGTTTTCTGTGTATTTGCGGTTGTGAATTGCATTTTGCTTTTGATGATGAAAATGCAACTCTACAGTTTAATAAAGTGACTATTATTGACATTTTAGTAGTTTGAAATAAGATTTTGTATATGAAATAATATTGAGAGAAATAAGTCTGTTGTAAATAACAGAAAGTGTACTGGTAGCTTATTACAAGGTTTTTGTAGCGTATACAACACCAAACCAGACAATATATCATTTTAATCTTAAAATGTTTTAATAAAAGTCACTTTTTTCAACTTTTCAAGGTTTAAAGTTGTTAGAAAAAAGATCAAGGTCCCATAATGCAATTCAAAAGCATAAATAAACGGGCGCAAAAATAAATAAAATTAAATAGAAACATGAATCACAATGTACCAAAAACTGCTAATTTACGGATATTTTTTTTTACAGATTAGCATTTTTAATGGCTGCAACTTACAGTATAACTATTAAAACTAAAACATAGCCTACAAAGACAGCATGAGACATCTGAACTTATATACTTTTTTATATACTGCTTTTTTTTGCACAACAAGAACAATATCATACAAAAGCAGAGGAATACAGTACTTATATTTTTTACATTCATATCAAGGGAACAAATCAATAGAGAATAATAAATACATAAATACAAAAAATTACAGGCGATATATAAATTACAAGAAACTCACACAAGAAAATAATTCCAAAATTGCTTAAATCCTTATAGCTTTTTTATTTTAAAGATTTTTTTAAACAAATAAATGTTCAGTTTCTCATTAGACCATTTTTGTTTGTGAACATTGAATTTCCCAAAATATAATCATCAAATTAATAAGCTAATTTAGTCCAAAAGTTTTAATATTATAAAAGAGGTTTTACTCTTTTTTTATTATTGAATACAAGAAAAATAACATCACTGCATTGAAGAGAAAATACAATAACAAAAGTTAAGAGAGAAAGATAAAAAAATAAATATCATTAAGAAAAAAATTAAAATAAGCTTTAAGAGACTTATTATTCTTATTATTATTAATATGCAGTGTTGGGGAAAGTTACTTTTGAAAGTAATGCATTGCAATATTGAGTTATTCCTCAAAAAAGTAACTAGTAGCGTAACTTAGTTACTTTATATTGTAAGTAAAGCATGAAGTTCCTTTTGAGTTACTTTAGCGTTACTTTTTATTGCTAGGCTGTGGCTTGATCTCTTTCAGAACTTGTTTTTTCTTTTCTTTTCTTTTTTAAATAGAAGAGTTCTACACTTAATGCACTGTATAATCTACACATACATTTGCCTTTAAAAACATAAAATATATATATATTTTTGGATATCTGATAAGTTCCTGACCCCAGAGCTATACATGCCCTATAAACAGATTATTGAAAGTTTAAAGCAGTGTTCGCTACTTTTATACTAGTTGTCTTAAGTAAAATCACTGTCCATTTAGGCGCTCCCCTTTTCCTATTCTTCAATGCTTTCAAAATAACTCTCTCGTTGACTGTGATTTATTGTGACTACTTTGATTTCAATTCAGCAATTTATTTTTAAAAGCTAATTAATTAAACAAAATGTAACTCACGTGACATTTTCAAACAAGTAACTCAAATAATATGAATTATTTTTTGTAAGTGATGTGTTACTTTACTTGTTACTTAGAAAAGTAATACTATGTAACTCACGTTACTTTTAATATGTTACTTTATTTGTTATTTAGAAAAGTAATACTAATATGTAACTCACGTTACTTGTAATGCGTTACCAACATGGTAATATGTACAAGTGATTCAAGGTTGAACAAAATTTCAGCAAGGACTATATTAAATCTAAGTATTGTCTTTAGGAAATAATTTTTCTGTAAAAAAATGTAGAATGTCTCAAAATGTCAAAAAAGCTAACAATAAGACCGAGAGCATGATCAAAACCAGAAAAGTCAGAGATTTTACTCAGGCATTCGGGAAGACGACTGGATGACATCACCGCATCCTCTGGTCTGGATCCAGGGAATGGGATCTGGGAATGAGAATGGGATGTGCCCCGCGGACGCAGATTTATGGACTCGGAAACAACAGTAAGTTACAAAGTTATCAAAAGCCGCCCAAAAACTTTGCATGACAGAAGCAGCTTGAGTTCTTATGCATCAGCGCTGGCTTTTGTTAGTCAAATTTACGCTTGCATATCTTTTCTGAGTTTGTACACGGTCTAGCGTTAACGACATTTAACTTTTGATGAGTTTGCTAGCGGCTAATCTTTGTAGCGGTTCGGCTAATCCCACTTTAGAGTAAGAGTTAAACACATGTATTCGCTGTTATAAACTTGAGAGACTTTCTACATCTCGCTGTTGTTGTCATTTGTAGCGCTGGGATGTGTTTGGGAGAAAACTTACTTTTAATTTACTTGCTAAGTTAACTTAGCCATGTTTTATTTAACTAAATTGGTTGGAGGTGGATGAGAGATTAGGGTTAGGTTGGTTTTATATTCGCACATTCTGGCTTTCCTTTCTGGCTTTTCCTTTAATAATATAATTTCAGAAAAGTATTGTTTCAAATTCTAAATAGGGATATCACATTAGCAGGCAATGACTATCAAAGTAAAACATTATTTACAGTCAATGAAATAGTGCTAAGGTTGTTTTGAAGTCATATTTACATGCTATTTCTGACCCAATGTTTACGCAAGTAACGTTAGTATGATACTAAATAAATATTTGAATATAAAACCAACTTAGTAACGTTGGTTTTACATTAGCACATTGATTCGTTATTTTTTTTTAACAGTGACATCTTGTGACATGGTATTTATATTGTTTACCACACTACTTTGAATCATTCTTGCTTTCCTTTAATAATATAATTTGAGAAAAGTATTGTTTACAATTCTCGATAGGGAAATCATATTAGCAGCCAATGACTATCAAAGTACAATGTTGTTTACAGTCAGTGAAATAGTGCTAATGTTGTTTTGAAGTCATATTTACATGCTATTTCTGACCCAATGTTTAAGGTAGCATGGTACGTAATGAATGTGTGAATGTAAAACCAACTTATTGAGGTAAAGTTGGTTTTACATTTGTACACTGGTTCGTTTTTGAACAGTGACAACTTGTGACAGTGTTTGTATTGTTCACCACACTACTATGAATATTGGCTTTAAAATTGCATGGAAGAATGACTTCAAAACAAATTAATTGACTGTAAACAATGTTGTCATTTGGTAGTCATGGGCTGCTAAAATGATTTCCTAATTTAGAATTCACAAAGAATACTTTTCTGAAATTATATTTTTAGGAGAAAGTCTGAATGTGTGAATATAAACCCAACTTTAACTCAATAACCAATTTTACCTCCATGCTGAGAAAACTGAAAGTTGCATTTAACTTTTAATGAGTTTGCTAGCAGCTAATCTAACTTCAGAGGACAAGTTTAGCACATTTATTTGTTGTTATAAACTTTTAGAGGTTTTCTGAATTTCGTTAGTTTTTATTTGTTGCGCTGCAATTGTGTTTTGGGAAAACTTGCACTTAATTTACTTGCTAAGTTAACTTATTTTATTGAGGTAAAGTTGGTTTTACATTAGCACATTCGTTCATTTTTCTTGTGACATAGTATTTATATTGTTTACCATGCTACTATGAATATTGGCTTTGAAGTTGCAAATAAAATGACTTCAAAACAATTTGAATTGACTGTGGATAATGTTGTAATTTGATAGTTATGGGCTGCTAATATGATTTCCCTATTTAGAAATCACAAAGAATACTTTTATAAAATTATATCATTAAGGAAAATGTGCGAATATAAAACCGACCTTGCCTCAATTGCTGAGAGGACTAAGCATTGCTGTTTTATGCTTTACCTCTAATGTAGCTAGTAATATTGAATCATATACAGTATGTGTTTTACTGTCTGTGGTATCTGTTTTATTGTCTCAGAATATGTAAATGTCTCGTATTTTTTCATTTTTGGCTCATGTAGTTGTTTTGTTGTCACATGGTTTATGATGATCTGCATACAGTGTTTTCAGATTTATTTTATAGTCAACAGTTAAAGCCACTTAAAGCTTTAAGACATAAGCTCAAATAATTTTAAGCAAATTCTAGATTTCAGGTTACTTAAAGCAGATTTAAATTGTAGTTATGTTATCAAGACGTCAACATTTGTTAAATAATAATTTGAAAACTTCTGTACAAGACCCTTAAATCCCAGATGTTTACTATTTCATGCACAGTTCACAGCTCAGTTGCCATTCTGTGTATGTTTTTTGTGACATCTTTACACAAAAATTTCTGTTCAGTACTTTGTGTTTTGCTCATTATTGTTAGTTATTTATAGCTATTATTGGTAGTTTTCATGGAGGCACTTATTTAAAAAACTAACATTTTATGTTAATGTATAATTTTAGATTGTTTGAGATGATTCTGTAGGGCAGAACGTCGGCATAAAATCTAATAAATACATTACAATAAAGAAAAAGATACAGTTGAAATAAAGTGTTTTATTGTTAACATTATTCAGGTACAGTTATTTAATAATAAGTATAAAAATACTTCAACAAAATAGGGATGCACCTATATGCATATTTTGGCCAATATCAATAACTCTTAAAATTTGGAAGCCGATAACCAATTTATATAGGTTGATAAATATACATTTTTTATTTTAAAAACTTCACAAAAGTTTGAACTGATCTTATGAATTGAATAGCCTACTTAAAGCAAAAAAGCAATAGTTTCAAAAATGCAAGAATTATATAGACCTATATTCATGATTACACTTAAATCAGCATTCTTAAATATAAATGACTTCCTTTTCTTCACATAGCAAATTAACATGCAACTTGACTGTTGCATAAAAATAATAGGTTAAATTACAAAATGGGATTTAATTAACAAACAAGTAAAATAAATATATTTTAAATAAAAAGAAAAATGAAAGAACTAAGAACTGAAACCAGCTCAAATGTTCTTGAATAAAATGTCACAGTAATGTACATGTGTACAAATATGTAATGTCTGAAAAAGCCTTTTGAGAGCTGTTTTGACAGAGCCACCGTACAAACAAATAGCCAAATACAGATAGTATTACTTTAGAAAATGCAGCATTAATTCACTTCATTTGGCGTTTTAGTTTCTTTTGAACGCATGTCAATCAAACAACTATGTTTGTTCTTGCTGTCAATTGCAGTTATTGATTGTGGTTAAAATTATCGATGAAAGTTTTAAAGGCGGACGGTTAAGAACCCCTTGGATTCAGTGACCGACACGTGTCTCTCCTGTTGCTGTGAAGGCTCTGTCGGCTCACTAAGTGTGTGCACATGCTTATAGCCATCATGTGCACTTGTTATAACCATTATAAATATGCTGATGAAACTAAATACAATTTTACATCAACAACACATGGCAAGCAACGCGTTGATGATAACAAACAATCATAATAGATTACAAACAACCCAACGAGTTGTTTAGCACATGTGCTATTATGTTTACACATGTATTATTTTCCTGAGGCGATTTAAACCAGAATACATAATGACACTCTATCAAACATCTACAATGATAAGGAATATAGTTACTTACTGAGTTATTAACGCACAGCAATACCGCACAAAGAAAGGACTGACTTTGAAGGAATAAACAATGTGCGGTAAGCTCCATTATAGTGCACTCGATAAGAAGTTTGACGCACATATGCGCGAGGCAGTGGACAATTACGTAATCTACCGGCTTTAAGGTATCAGCCAAATTTTGACATTGGACCGATAAGGATAACACAAAAAATAGCATTTATTGGCCAATAATGAAATGGCCACCAATATATCGAATATTCCTACAATAAAATTCATCCTCTTTAAAGTTACAAACTGTACAATTTGTTTATGCCTGAAAGCTTTTAAAATCATTATAAAGACATAGGTTTTAAAAACACATGCAGATGATAAATTATAATACAGACTCAACATTGTGTATCCTGCAATGTGACTACTGCACATAATCACATTGCAATATCAATGTTGAAACAATATATTGTGAAGCCTCACTATATGTTTATGTGCTTTGTTCTCTGTTATTTATTTCAGTGCCCATAATAAGGATTATCACAGACCCACAGTAGTAATGAGGGACCGCTAATCAGCTCAGCTATGTCTCCAAAAGGAGTCGGCCACAGTAAGGTGGAAGAAAGTGCTGTACAGGTGGCCGTCCGCGTGCGTCCGTTGCTTCCCAAAGAGATTTTGCACAGCCATGAGAGCTGCATCACTTCAGACCCAGAGGAGCGGAGGGTCACCCTGGGCAATGACCGCCACTTCCACTGTGACTTTGTGTTTGAGGACGGCTCTACCCAGGAGGAGGTGTACACTAACTGCGTTCAACCACTTATCGAGGCCTTCTTTCATGGATTTAATGCTACCGTGTTTGCCTATGGGCAGACAGGCTCAGGCAAAACCTACACCATTGGGGAAGCCAGCATTTGTGAGTATTTTAAATAAATGTCAAATTACGTTTTGGGGGTGAACGTTAGGGGTAATTTGCTAACATTGTTTAACATGAACTATATTCCTAAAAGTCCCGTAAAATTTAAATAATGTTTTTTAGATGTTAGTAAGAGTAATATAAAGCCGACTTTCCACTGCACATGACAGACGACAAGTGACAGACTGGAAGTCATTCATTTTCAGTGGAGAGTAGGGCTGTGCAATTAATTGCAAATCCCGTTTTGATTTCGATTTTGTCTTCTGATTATGAAAAACCATTTATCGAGATTAACGATTATTCCATCATTCACCGCTCCCTTTCCAGTTTTCCACATTTGTTGCTCTGCAAGGCTCAGTTCCATGTCAAAATGACTAAAAACATGTAATGTGATATAACTTCTGCAGCACGGGATTCGCATCATTCATATTTTTAAAAGCCCAAAAGGACACATGCTCTGTCTGTGTCTGCACCACGTTCAGCCTCGGAGATGAGCAGAGCACACACATCTAACGCCATCTTAATGTGAGCGCTTCAAATACATGCACATTTGTGTCACAGTGCAGTGTTTAGTGATTATTCATATTAACCCTCGGTTGTGTAATAAACAAACAAGTTGAAAATCAAAAGACATGTGAAAGAGAAACCATATCAGAGACACACCATTCTTAAAGTGACAGTATTGAGCTATAAAAATGGGTTTCAAAATATTCAAACCTGCTTTTATTCTAGATGAAATAAAACAAATAAGTCTTTCTCCAGAAAAAAAATATTATAAGAAATACTGTGAAAAAATCCTCAGTTAAACGTCATTTGAGAAATATTTATATATAAAAAAATTCACAGAAGGGCGAATAATTTTGACTTTAACTGATAATCGTTTTGAATAATTGTGATCACAATTATGACCAAAATAATCGTTATTATGATTTTACCCATAATCGAGCAGCCCTAGTTGAGAGTATCTGATTTGGGCTGCGGATCCGTTAAAACATTTGAACTTCTACGCCTAGCCTGTATTTGATCGGATGTGATGTATTCCAGTGTTGTCAAAGCAGCTCCATATGCACAAGATGACAATTGGTAGTATTTAATTTTTTTTGTTACTTTTTGAATCAGAAAAAAGTCTATTTAAATATATATATATATATATATATATATATATATATATATATATATATATATATATATATATATATATATATATATATATATATATTATTCTTTTTTTTTTTTTTTTTTACATTGTCCACATTTCCTCCAAAATTTTTAGCAGTCTATGGATTTCTACAATTCATTTATTCAGCCATGGTGAATGCACAGAGAATAACGTCCCATTCACACGGAGCTTCAGCGTCAACGCTTGACAGAGGGCATGTCTGAAGTTAGGGCTGGCACGATCGTCATAGCAGTGTCAGCCAATGAAATTAGTCAGCAAAAGCGATCTGATTGTCTGACTCTTTCGTCCACATTGCAGTTTGGCAATGCCTGACGTCACCAATTCAAAGTGAATGGGAAGCGTTGAAGCTGACGTGTGAATGGGGCGTAAAGGTTCTTACTTTTGCATTTGCTTTTGCTTTTTACACTCTTGTGCGACTGCCACAATGGGGCATTTACCAACAGTTGTGTCCGAATGTTGTGTGCAGTGGAAAGGCAGCTTAAGAGATATCTACAAGCTAGTGTGCTTCAAAATGGTGACAAAATTCGCGTTTAGAAGATATAAAACTGGTATAAACATGTAAAGCTTGTAGTTTGTCACTTCTACATAAATTGATCAACGTTTTTTTGACTTCACCTCATACTTCAGTTTCTCATCAAATCTTGACCAATCAAAAGCTCTTTAATATCTGACATACACCGCCCTCTTCAAGGTGTTTCATATTTATTTTTCATTTGATGCTCTTCAATCAATCATTCTCACTGGCAGAGCTGTGGTAAAATCAAAACACTATTGGCAGTTTTTTTTAAAGGAGAGGAGCTTCTCTGTCCCGCCCTCTCTTCATGTCTCAGTTGAGATTGTGTCAATCATCGAATAAAAAAATTGCACATTTCAAAGCACTTCACAGGATATGAAGGATGTGGATATTTCTGCATGGCCAGACCCGGTATATATTGCAATTACACAATATGAAGCAAAGAAGTAAGCAATAGAATTAAAATCGAAATGATAGGAAGGCTACAGATTTACATTTGAATAGTAGCGACTGGTCAATAAAGGGCTTTAGGGCCGCTTTTACCATATAAAAAAACCAAAAATTTTTTTTATTATTTTATGTTCAGTTGACTTAAATTTGTAAAAACTAATAAATAATAGTAACTAATAATTAATCATTTAATTCATTCATGTTGACCCAACACAAACCAATGGTGTGGAACCAAGCTGTTTTTGCAATGTAAATGGCCTTATTTGATTGGACCGTTCTCATCCTTCTCAGCAGCAGCAGGTGTGTGTTTAAAAATGACCTTGATCATTTCTTCACTCGTGATAAACCCAAACTGAACTAAAATTCGCTGATTTTGGTATGTTTATTGCATGCTTTGGCTGTTTTTGATGCGTCATCTGATAAAATGGATTTGCACTTCTGCATTATTAACAGTAAAATGTTTGCGGCCCCCTCCCAATCTATTTGGAAATAATTTGTAATTTAGACTGATTTGGGATTATTCTGGGTGTGAAGCATGCATAAAATATAATAAACTTTTTTAAAAGTGTGGATAAATACAATAAAGCGAAGAAAAGAAAATTCACAGTGCTTTATAGTTTTTCTGGGCAGCCAAACAGTATTCAGGCACAAAAAATTAATAATCATATATAAAACACTGCATTATCTTGATTGCAAATAGATAAATAAAATAAGTCTTTATTAAACTTACAAAGGTTAGTTTCTAGTGCCTGAGTGCAAAGTCACAGGTTTGAAAAACACATGCATGATAAACTTTTATTCACATGTTTTTAAAATATATCTTGCTGAAATATAGTCCCAACATACACTCACTGGCCACTTTATTAGGTTCACCTGTACAACTGCTCGTTGACACAGATTTCTAATCAGCCAATCACATTGCAGCAACTCAATGCATTTAAGCATGTAGATGATCTGCTGCAGTTCAAACCGAGCATCAAAATGGGGAAGAAAGGAGATTTAAGTCACTTTGAATGTGGCATGGTGGATGGTGCCAGATGTGCTGGTCTGAGTGATGCCAGAGGTCAGAGGAGGTTTGAGCCAATAGAAAGGCTACAGTAACTCAAATAACCTCATTACAACCGAGGTATGAAGAAGAGCATCTTTGAATCCACAACACGTCCAACCTTGAAGCAGATGGGCTACAGCAGCAGAAGACCACACTGGGTGCCACTCCTGTCAGCTAAGAACAGGAAACTGTGGCTACAATTCACACAGGCTCTCTAAAATTAGACAAGAGAAGATTGGAAAAACGTTGCCTGGTCTGATGAGTCTTGATTTCTGCTGCAACATTCGGATGGTAGGTTCAGAATTTTGCATCAACAACATGAAGGCGTGGATCCATCCTTCCTTGTATCAATGGTTCAGGCGTGTGGTGGTTGAGGTGGTGTAATGGTGTGTGGGATATTTTCCTGGCACACTTTGGGCCCATTAGTACAAATTGAGCAACGTGTCAACGCCACAGCCTCCCTGAGTATTGTTGCTGACCATGCCCATCCCTTTATGACCAGTGTACCCATCTTCTGATGACTACTTCCAACAGGATAACACGCCATGTCATAAAATCTGAATCATCTCAGACTGGCTTCTTGAACATGACAATGAGTTCACTATATTCATATGGCCTCCACAATCACCAGATCTCAATCCAATCGAGCATCTTTGGGATGTGGTGAAACGGGAGATTTGCATCATGGTAGTGCAGCCGACAAATCTGCAGCAATCATGTCAGTATGGACCAAAATCTCTTGAGGAATATTTTTAGTACTTTGTCCAACCTGGTACAAGTAAGGTCTACCTAATAAAGTGGCCGGTGAGTGTTTAAACTCAATATTGCATATTCTGCGATGCGACCATTGCAGACACGTTGTTTGCAATATTGGTGTTGAAACAATATATTGTGTAGCCCTATTAGAAAGACAATCATAGCACTTTTGCATGCTTAAAAAAATCATCATGTAAAAATGCAACGTTTTTCTTTCGCCGTAAGTATATTCAGTATTGTGACCGCTCCTTTGTTGTGTAAACAAATAAAAAGCATGTCTAAGTTCAGTTCCTTACAACATATTATTATAGGGGGCTTCATCTCGACCAGACATGATTCACAAGGCTAGGAAAGGCTTTGTCTGTGTCTTGTTAAAACGAGTTTGCACGTTCATGCTGCCAGCAACACCTCCCCCGGTTCAGTTGCCATCCTTCCACTCGCAATCTGAGATCTTGCTGTTTCTTTTTTCTTCTTTTTTTTTTCAGTCTGCCTCATAGAGTTATTCATTAACCTGCTGTTGGTTTTTTTGGCTGCAGCCGCTTTTAGGGATGATGAACAGGGCATCATTCCCAGAGCTGTGGCCGAGATCTTCAAACTGTTGGACGAGAATGACCTCATTGACTTCTCGGTCCGGGTGTCTTACATGGAGGTTTACAAAGAGGTCTTCAGAGACCTTTTGGAAGTTGAGACGGCCAGTAAAGACATACATATCCGAGAGGACGAAAGAGGGAATGTAGGTAAGTTTGTGGAGGAAATAGATGCAAGAGCCTCTCAGCTGAAAGCTGTTGAAATTATTACTGTACTATTCAAAACTAAGTTAGATTTTTTTTATTATTATTATCATTATGTTTATATTTTGATCTCTCGTGCACATCAAGACTATTTGATCTACATTATGAACATATAATTATTGGTACTATTTGAATTTACTGTTGAATTTAATGCTATTTATAAGTCAACAAAGACTTTTTTAAATCATTAAAAAACATATAATTATTGGTACTATTTGAATTAACTGTTTCCTGTTTTGATATACAGTTACGGTCAAAAGTTTGGCGTCAGTTATTTTTTCATGTTTTTTTTATTCTAATAAAAATTTAGTTATTCTGTTCATCAAGGCGTCATTTATTTATTGAAAAAAAATTGTTACTGCTTTCTTATTGTATGTTGTTTCAAATTAAATTATTACTCCAGTCATTATTGCTTTTATTACTATTACCATTAATAATAATAATAATAATAATAATGATAATATTAATAATAATAAGACCGGACTAATGAAGCTGAAAATGTTTTCATGAAATAAATGCAGCCTTGGTAAGCAGGAGAAGCTTATTTTAAAACATTTAAAAATCCTACTGACCCCAAACTTTTGACTGGTAATGTGTATTACATTTACATTTAGTCATTTAGCAGACGCTTTTATCCAAAGCGACTTACAAATGAGGACAAGGAAGCAATTTACACAACTTTAAGAGCAACAATGAATAAGTGCTATAGGCAAGTTTCAGGTCTGTAAAGTCTAAGGAAAGTATAGGATAGTAGTAGTGTGTATTAGTGTATATCTAAAAATGTAAATGAATCTGGTGATGGGCAAGCTAAAATTACTTTAATCTTGATTGTAATTTATTATTATTATCAGTTTTGAAAACAATTCCACTTCCTTATAATTTTGTGGAAACTGATAATTCTTTTGGCAGAAATCTTTGATGAATAGAAAGTAAAAAAAGAAAATATAGAAAATATTAGTATATAAGGAAATCACTCTAAATCTTTGAACAACATACTTTACATTTGTAAATTAACCTAAGCCATTGCTTGCCTGATTGTCTAGTTTATTAAATTATTTTAATAAAATATTATGAAAAAATGAAATAATATTTTTATCTCAATGAAATTATTTAAATGAGAATTTATTTATTAAATATTGTTTAAAATCTATTATTTCTATGTAAATTCTATATTTCTGTAACATTTTAATAGTATTTGGCTTGTTTTGGGTTTAGTTTTTTTCTGCAAAATTAATGCTGCTTTTAACTTAATAAAAACTTTCCAAAAACTTCTCTTTATTCCATCTCTTTATTATTATTATTATTATCAATTTTAAAAAAGCAGTTTCACTGCTAATATTTTTATGAAAACTGTGATAATTTTTTGGAAACTTTTTGATGAATAGAAAGTAAAAAAAAAAGCATTTTGTAAATCTATTCCCACATTTTAAATGTCTTTACTGTGACCTTAGGTCATTAACATCACTGACATCCCTATTGAATGGAAAATAATATTGTAAAAGGAAATAACCCTAAATGTTTCAACAACAGTGTTTATATATATATATATATATATATATATATATGTGTGTGTGTGTGTGTGTGTGTGTGTGTGTGTGTGTGTGTGTGTGTGTGTGTGTGTGTGTGTGTGTGTATATTTGAATTAAACTAGTTTAGTAAATTATGTTTAGTCATATAATGAGATAATATTTTAATCTTATTGAAATCATTTAAATTAGATTTTTTTAAAGTTATTATTAATATTGTTTAAAATCTATGATTTGTATGTAAATTCTCTTTTTCTGTAAAATTTCAATAACATTTAGCTTGTTTTGGATTTAGTTTTTTCTTTGTAATTAATGCTACTTATAGGCCAACACACTAAATAGACTTTCTAAATAGAACCATCTTTTATTTATTATTATTATTATTATTATTATTATTATTATTAATTTTTTAAGCAGTTACACTGCCTTAAATCTATTATTTATACATTTAAATTCTATATTTCTGTAAATAATATTCAATAACAATTAGCTTCTTTTGAATTCCGTTATTTCATAATGCTATTTATAAGTCAACAAAGACTTTTTAAAATCCTGAAAGCGTTTCTTTATTATTATTAATTACAATATTTTTATTGTCATGTAACAAAAATGTAACAAAGTAATACATCACAATCATATTTACATCTTTGTTTTCAGTTTAAAAGCAACAATAATTAAACAAATGAAATACAAAAAAAAAAGAGGAGAGGAAAAAAAGGGCACACGTTGTTTAATTAGTGACAGATTATTCTAGATAAAACATTAAGAAGAAATCTCTAGAGTTATGCACCTGATCATCAGTATATGACAATGCTTTGTTTAAATAAATGGAAATGGGGGAACATGTAGATAGGCTAAGTCTGTCTCAATTTGTTTGTTTATTATAGTATTTTGAAAAAATTTTAATATGCTTGTGCCACATTTACATTTTTTATGCACTTAGTATTTTCCTAGACTGTGAATGAAAAAATGCCCATTTAGACTAATTGACTAATCTAGTTGACAAATACGCTTTATTAAAAGCGTAAATAAAGACATCACCTTCATTCATTCATTTTCCTTAGGCTTAGCCCGATATTTATCAGTAGTCGCCACAGCGGAATGAACCACCAACTATTCCAGCATATGTTTTACACAGCGGATGCCCTTCCAGCCACAACCCAGATCTGGGAAACATCCATACACTCTCAAATTCAAACAAACACTTATACACTATGACCAATTTATTTTATTCAACTCATCTATAGTGCATGTCTTAGGACTGTTGGGGAAAACCAGACTCAACACATGTGAACACGGGGAGAACATGCAAACTCCACACAGAAATGCCAACTGACTGACTCGAACCAGCGAACTTCTTGCTGTGAGGTGATAGTGCTTACCGCTAAGTCCATCATGCTGCCTAGACATGATTTATATCAGGGTTGTCCAAACTCTGTCCTGGAGGGCCGGTGCCCTGCAGATTTTAGCGCCATCCTTGCAGGTGTGTTAAGGCAAGTTGTTTCTAGACAGCCAAGGAAGAGCTTGATTAGCTAGCCCAGGTGTGTCTGATTAGGTTGGAACTAAACTCTGCAGGATACCGGCCCTCCTGGACCGAGTTTAGGCACTCCTGATCTATATGCTATAAAATCGCAGGTTAAGTAAGTCTGTATATAATAAATTGATTGTAACTTTAACTTAAATTGATTGTAATGCAATAATTTGCACCCTCATAATAATTATTGTAAAAAGCACTATACAAATAAACAAAGTGAACTGAATTGAATAATCAGGAAGTCTTTCAGCAGTCAGTGACTTGTGTGTTTCCCCATAGTGCTTTGTGGTGTAAAGGAATGTGAAGTGGAGGGACTTGACGAGGTGCTGAGTCTCTTAGAGTCAGGAAAGACAGCCCGTCACACAGGGGCCACCCAGATGAATCCACACTCAAGTCGCTCTCACACCATCTTCACTGTGCTGATGGAGCAGCGGCGTGGAGGCTCTCGAGCAGCGAATGGCTCTGTGCAGATCCTCTCATCCAAATTCCATTTTGTGGACCTGGCAGGATCAGAGCGCATCCTTAAAACCGGCAACACCGGCGAACGGCTCAAGGAGAGCATTCAGATCAACAGTGGACTTCTTGCTCTTGGAAATGTCATTGGAGCGCTTGGGGACCCCAAAAGAAAAGGCACCCATATCCCATACAGGGATTCAAAAATCACCAGGTACAAATTATTTTAATATACAGTTGAAGTCAGAATTATTAGCCCGCCTGTAAGCTTTTTCCCCAAATTCTGTTTAATGGAAAGATCTTTTTATGCATTTCTAAACATAATAGTTTTAATAACTCATTTCTAATAACTGATTTCTTTTATCTTTGCCATGATGACAGTACATAACACTTTTCTAGATATTTTTAAAGACGCTAGTATCCACCTTAAAGTGACATTTAAAGGCTTAACTAGGTTAACTAGGCAAGTCATTTTATAACGATGGTTTGTTCTGTAGACAATCAAAAGCAAATATTTCTTAAAGGGGCTAATAATAATATTTGAAAAAAAATAAAAACTGCTTCTAGTCTTTACGAAATAAAACAAATAAGACTTTCTTCAGAAGAAAAAATATAATAGAAAATACTGTGAAAAATTCCTTGCTCTGTTAAACATCATTTGGGAAATATTTGAAAGAAATATTCCTGAGCGATGCATGTCAGGTTTTTAGGTTCAAAGATGCATTCTGCGTGAATGTCTCCTAAATCTGCAAATGTGGTGACGGTCGCACGGCAGCAATTTTATGCACTTGCACAAATGCTCCCAAATATATTTTAAGGTTACATATATAAAATTTGCATATGCGACCAAAACGGTTTAAATTTCGAGCCCTGAAAAGATTGTCTTTTTTTTTTTTTTTTTCAAGCCATGTTGGTTTGTTGTGTGAGAATTCTATTTTGCTGCTGCTCAACTTCTCAATCTCTGAATAAATCACTCTCCGTGATATTTTCAGTAGGGTATGTTTTTAGCAAGTGGGCATATGTATTATGGGAAATAAGTATTGAAAACGTCTTGTTTTTTTGCTGGGAGTAATATTTTTGACATAGAATTGAACCAGGTTTAGGTAAAAACCCAAACAATACAAACATAAAATTAAAACAAAACAAAAATATATATATATGAAAAATGAGTTATGTGTGATAACAATAGTATGAAATGAGTACTACTGAAGTGTGTTTAATACTTTATATAAAAGGCTTTTTTGGGATGGCAGCTTAAAAACGCCTCTTATATGGAGAATAAAGTCATACATTTTCACAGACTTCAACAGACTGTGAAAATCTTGATGTTCTGTGGGTCTCGTCTATCAAATCTGATCTTTAATTTGTATTTTCTGTTGGATTCAAGTCAGGTGACTGGCTGGGCCATTCTACAGCTTGATTTTCTTTCTCTGAAAGCATTTGAAAGTTTCCTCTGCTGTGTTTTGGATCATTTTCTCGCTGAAATGTCCACCGTGTCCATCTTTTAAATCACTGGTCACCAAACTTGTTCCTCGAGGGCCGGTGTCTTGCACATTTTAGCTCTAACCCTAATCAAACACACCTAAACAAGCTAATCAAGGTCTTGCTAGGTATACTTGAAACGTCCAGGCAGGTGTGTTGAGGCAAGTTGGAGCTAAACCCTACAGGGACACCGGCCCTCCAGGACCGACATTGGTGACCCCTGTTTTAAATTAACAAAACAAAGCAATCCTTAAATCTAAAGTCTGAACTAGGCGACTAAAAGAAATAATACAAATAAAAACTGAGGTCTTCAGTGTACACAACAGCCGAACTAAACTAATTAAACTACAAAATTCAAAATACACAGGTGGCAAAACACTCAAACTAATCTAACAAAACCTCCATCTAAACTGAAACAAACCAGATAAGACAGTCAAAGGCTCAGTTTAGAATCACACAACAACCATCACATTATGTTACTTAAAGCCAACAAAGTTCAACAAGCAAAAACAAATTACCACAGTAAACTGACATAATAAATTACTAAACAGCCGAAGCATAGCACAAACAAATTGTATGGAGCACAAATGGTACGCTGAGGCAGAGCGCACACCACACACTGCTCTGTCAGGGCTTTAAATCCTTGCGGCTCGTCCGGGGATTGGTGGAACCGACACCGTCAATGATGATGGACAGATGGTAAACCAATAAAAAAAGGGTTGAGTAAGCGGAGAGGAAGGTGAAAAAAATACACAAAGAAAGAAAACAAACATAACAATAACAATCATCCGGATAATGTAGATGTTTGACTGAAGCAGCTAATATTTATTTACAATGACGAAGGGCAGAGGGTTGCTGAAGAACTTATGTGAAATTTCAGTTGCTGTCTGAGCTTTCACCGCCTTCCTTTTTTCATGTGTTCAATGCTTTTTCCCTGCATCGATTTATTTAATTATGCATAACTTAATTTCTAAACTAATTTTGTTTCCTTTTCATATATTAATTTCTTTGATTGTTACCAACATCTGGTGAAAATTTCAAGTCAATAGCACCATTAGAAATATGTTTCCTGAGAAAAATGGTGTCATTTCAATACTCATTTCCCTGACAGTATAACATTGCATTGGCATCTTCAAAACTGCAAGCCTTTGTATTGTAAATCTGTGTGTTTTGCCAGGATCTTAAAAGACTCTCTTGGAGGCAACGCCAAAACCCTGATGATTGCCTGCATTAGCCCTTCGTCCTCCGACTTTGATGAGAGCCTAAACACACTCAACTACGCCAAGCGTGCTCGTAACATACAAAACCGGGCTACAGTCAACTGCCGGGGGGAACCAGATCGCATTGAGGGCCTTGAACTCCAGATCAAAGCGCTGAGACGAGCCCTTGAAAACCGCCAGCGCTCTGAAACCCGCATTATTGCACGATCTGACCCTGAGAAGAGACTTCGGCCGTTTGAAGTGGATGTAAGGAAGCTGCAAGCTGAGAGCGCCCACTATAGGACGTGCACCGACTCTGCCTACAGGCTTTTAACAGAGCTGCAGGGCGAAGGAACTCTTAATGCGGGGCAAATCCTGCGGGTTAAAGAGTGGCTGTGTGGTGTTGAGGAGGAACGCAGCGGTTTGACCTCAGCGTCAGGACTCGACAGCGGCATTGAAAGCAGCTCTACTGAGGACAGCACTGCGCTCAAAAGGAGACAAGCCGTGCTGAACAACCAGGTTGGCTTCAGGCATATCCATTTTCAAATATGAATATTTTATAATCAACAATTCATCATGAAAAGGCAATTATGTATCTGTAGTCAGGTCATTATTTCTAGAGCATTAATTACACATATGGGCAAATGTCTTGCGGTAAACTATGCAGTTATCAGTGTAATTCTCACCGCAGTGGGATTTGTTTTTGCTGAAGGATCTTGTGAAGGAGGATTGGAGAGGAGAGCGGGAGGACTACACTTCCCAGCTGCAAGCCCAGATTCAGCAACTCGAGCAAGAAAACACTGACTTTTTAGTCGCCTTGGAAGATGCCATGGAACAGTACAAACAACAGGTAAGGGAAGATCTAAAGATTTAAGGTCACACTTTAGAATAATGGTCCAATAGTTAATATATTTACTAACATTAACTAATTATTAAAAATCTTGTAAAGCATTTATTAATCATAGCTCAACGTTAACTGATGCATTATTAAAATACAAAGTTGTGATTGTTAACATCAGTTAATGCACCATGAGTTACATGAGTAACATGAACTAACGTTACTTAACAGACACCCTAGTTTTTTATGATATTTTTTTTTTGCAATCAAAATGACTTATTTGCGTGCAATTTTGCGATTTAAAAACACATAGACAAACACACACACACACACATATCTATATCTATCTGTCTGTCTGTTGGATTCAAGTCAGGTGACTGGCTGGGCCATTCTACAGCTTGATTTTCTTTCTCTGAAAGCATTTGAAAGTTTCCTCTGCTGTGTTTTGGATCATTTTCTCGCTGAAATGTCCACCGTGTCCATCTTTTAAATCACTGGTCACCAAACTGGTCACACACATATCTATCTATCTATCTATCTATCTATCTATCTATCTATCTATCTATCTATCTATCTATCTATCTATCTATCTATCTGTCTGTCTGTCTGTCTGTCTGTCTGTCTGTCTGTCTGTCTGTCTGTCTGTCTGTCTGTCTGTCTGTCTGTCTGTCTGTCTGGATGGATGGATGGATGGATGGATGGATGGATGGATGGATGGATGGATGGATGTCCGTCCGTGTGTGTATGTGTGTGTCCATGTGTGTGTGTGTGTACATATGTATGTTTATGTATCCATGTAAGAAGAACTACTTACAAAGCAATTTACAAACATTGCAAAGGATGGAGGAAGAATTCAACATGTCTCAGTGAAGAAAAAGTTTGGAGCACATATATGATGCATAAGAACCTAAAATGCACACCTATAAATACATATTTGTCTATTGCAGTAAATGTTATGAAATGATATATTATTAAATATTCAAAATGTAAAAAATAATTTCAACTTTTTGTATTTCATCAAAATGTTCAGCCAGCTTTTAGTGAACTTGCAGTATTGTCAAACACAGAACTTTCAGTTATTATATATGTACATAGCTTAAATACATGCTAGACCATTCCAACATTTTGCTCTCCAACTGGCATGTCTGGTTCCTCTGCTTGTAAACTTGTAAACAAACATCTTAGATTGGTTCATAAGATTGGCGAGTACCGATCAAGTCATAAAATGTGATTATCGGCCGATACCGATCTCCAGCTGATTGATTGGAGCATCTCTACTGCGCACTTCTGTTCAAAACACTGGTCAGTCAAATTCATATACCAATGTTGCTGTATGAATGGTAAAATAATGAAACATTTATAATGCAAACTGAATTTTTTTAACAGCAGTATTATAGGCTTCACTAGCTATGCTGCCATTCAAAAGAGCTAATTAACTTTATGCGCAAAACTGGATTATGGCATAAAAGATGTGCGAATAAAGCAGCTTTTCCATCCACTAAGTGGTAATAAATGTCTACAGTAAAGCTATATGGGTCGTTCACATATCATATGAGAAGCTCTTCTCACAAAACAGAGGAGTACACATAAATACTTGTTTATAAATGTTTTATACTTACTTATCTATGAACATGATTTGATTATAACAGCAGATCAATGATGTAACGTCTGCAATTATATAAAATAAATGAATAAATGAACATAGGAAACCTACTACATACGCGGGGAGAACATGCAAACTCCTCACAGAAATGCCAACTGGTCCATTCAGGACTCGAACCCGCAACCTTTTTGCTGTGTTGGGATAGTGCTGACCACTTAGCCACAGTGCTGCCCTTATTCTAATATGTTAATAACGATTCTTAATACATAATTCCTATAATTTTAATGAATTAGGAAGGGTAAATTTCACACATCTCTTTCTCTTTCTTCTGACTTCTTTTGGGAAGTCATGGAAATGCAAATGTTATTTGCTGAAGTCACACTGTTTTTATTCACCAGTCTATTTGCTAGTGAATCATTCTGAATCAACATCATATTTTAAAATCCTTAACCAGTAATTACAAACTGAAAATGTCATCGCAATGTAATGGAAATGCGTTTCTTAAAATGTGTGGAAACACTAATTGGTTACCAAATATAGTGTTGGGAAATTGATTTGCTATCTCAAAAAAGCTCTCAAAAAATATTCATTCAGCTGTTTATCTGTTTTTGTATATTTTACAGACATTTTACCCACAGAAAAGCAAACAACAAAGCTGAGCAGTGAAGTGTGTAACTAGATGATTGATCTGAGCTTAGCTATGTTTTTCAACTTGGCCAGATTTCTTGCTTAGATTTCTTTTTAACTGCTCAATATTTTGCTGCCATTATTACACAAACACCAGTTAAGAGAGCTAGCCTTATGCTTATTATTAAAACATTAATACAATATGTGTCAGTGTGCAAATATTTGGCTACACTGCAAAAATGCTTTTCTTACTTGGAAATTTTGTCTTGTTTCTAGTCCAAATATTTTAAAATACTTAAATCAAGATCCATTTTTTAGACAAGCAAAAAATATTGTGTTGTTTTCAGAAATATTGAGTCAGAATTAAGTGAGTCTTTCCTTAAAACATGCAAAATAGTCTGCCAATGGAGTAAGCAAAATAATCTTATTTTCATTTTAAAATAAATGTGTTTTACTTTTTAGCAAATTTTTTTAGCTTGTTTTAAGGAAAAACTCACTTAATTTAAACATAAAATTCCTGAAAACAAAAAAAAAATTTTTTTGCTCATCTATTAAATGCTCTTCATATGAGAAATATTCTTGATAAGAAACTTTGCATGTCAACTTACTATAACCCTAAACTTGCAGTCTACTAATACTCTAATGAGAATTAGTTGCAATATTGTGTAGTAATGTAACTTATAGGCCCATTTTGTTTACCAATTAAGTTGATTAATTGCATTTGCAATAATTGCACTTTTAATCAACAAAATGCATTAAAAGGACCATCAAAGTAAATTAATTCTCAGCAGAATTTCTGAAACATAACTTAAAATTAAATTAAATATTTAACAAAGGTAAAAAAAAAAAAAAAAATAAAATAAAAAAAAAAAAAAATATATATATATATATATATATATATATATATATATATATATATATATATATATATATGTGTGTGTGTGTGTGTGTATATATATATATATGTAAATCCTCAAAGATGTACAACCATGCTGTAATTCTGTTACAAAAGTTGCACATTACTGCATTGCAATCAAAGTAAAAAAAAGTTAAGGTTATTAGTTACAATACCTTTATCAGTTACTAATAACTAACTAATTAACTATCTATAGTTATATATTTTAAAGGTGATGTCTATTTGTGCATCTTCAGTGTAGTGTGAAAAAAACTCATCTCAACAATTCATGGATCTTCCAAATAAAATGATTTTCTTAAACTGAACCTAAACTAAAATGAAAACTGAAAATCTACATATTTAAAAAATGTAAACAATTTCCTTTTATCTGTAAATCCTGAAAGATGTACAACCACAGCATAATGTGCATAACCATGAAACTGTAATATTGTGTGTTTTGTTTCCCCATTGGAAGATTATTTAGCTTGTTTTAAAGAAAAATCACTTAATTTTGACACTATATTTCTGAAAACAAGACAATATTTTTTTTGCTCGTCTTGAAAATGCTTCTTGATATTAGAATTTTTAGATATTATGACTAGAAACAAGACAAAAACTGTAAGCAAGGAAGGGGATCATCAAAAGAAAGTGATACTTAACAGAATTTCTTAAACCTAAGCTAAACTAAAATGAAAACCTAATATTCATTTATTCATATTTCTTTAGTTCAGTCTATAATTATCATTGGTCATGACAGCAAATTTTTTCGGCATAAACACAGCGGACGTCCTTCCAGCTGAAACCCAGTACTGGGAAAAATCTAAATATTTAACAAATATATAAAAAAATGTATCTTTTATCTGTAAATTCTGAAAGATCTACATCTATAAAGTTATGTTTATTACCCTTAAAACAGCAATATCACATGTTTTCCCACAAGGCTCTAACCGTATATTATTTTTATTTTGTTTTTATAGAGCGATAAGCTACAGGAGCAGCAGGATCTAATAGCGGAGCTTCACAGTCTGTTAGCTCAGCCTGGAGGAGCGGGGTTTCTCCACCTGAAACAGAGACCTCACACTGCTCCTATCAACTCACTACTGCAGACTCCAGACCGCCTCACTCCTCCCTGCGACTCTGATGTGGGCAGAAGCCTCGCCAGACAGGTAATTGATATGTTTTGATTTGTCTCACAGCATCCCCGACCGCAAACACAACATCGGCTTTTATTCGAGATACCATCCACAGCTGCCGCCACCTGGGCTAAGCTGTTAGTCGCGCACAAACATCTTCAGACATTCGCCACACACGCTGTGTAATTCTGTGTTTCGACTTCACCCACGTGCTTTCAGATGCAAACAGTTTGGCAAAGTAGCACTGCAAAGTCTTGACAGTCAATTATACAATTGGTCCCTTAACATCAATATAAAGTGACACTCAACTAAAATTTTTAAACCTAAAGATTAAAATAAAAATGATTATATATAGTTGACGTCAAAATGATTAAACCTCTTGTAAATTTTTTTTGTTATTTAAAAATTTCCCAACAGATGTTTAACAGAGCAAGGAATTTTTCACAGTATTTCCAATAATATTTCTTCTTCTGGAGAAAGTCTTATTTGTTTTATTTCGGTTAGAATAAAAGCAGTTTTTCATTGTTTTTTTTTAAACCATTTTAAGGTCAATAATATTAGCCCCCTTAAGCAATTTTTTTTTTGGATAGTCTACAGAACAAACCATCATTATACAAGGATTTGCCTAATTACCCTTACTTGTCTAGTTAACCTAATTAAGCCTTTAAATGCCACTTTAAGCTAAATATTGGTATCTTGAAAAATATCTTGTAAAATATTATAATATTATAATGGATGTCAAAATGAACTGTTTCTTCGGTGCAGCACGATGCAGATGCAGACAGTTCGCTATCGATTCAGTAATCCTAAGATCCTAACCGTTTATGTACTGACATCATTTATCTCATATGCGCTATATTGCAATAGTTTGCGAGGGCGAGTAATTAAAGCACCCCAACTACTTAAAAATGTCTTTTTTACTTTTTGAAAAGAGGGGGGGGTGGATCGAGTGGTAGTTTTTTGTATGTTTTTTTGTCTGTTTTTCTATTTCTTTTCTTGCCAAGAGTGAAGCTGGGTTAAAAAATACGTCTTATCCATATTTCTTTGTACGTTAAACACACGCAGGGCCGGAGCAAGCTGAACTGGCGCTCTAGGCAAACAGCAATCACGCCGTTTTATTCGTATGAAAAGCCGAGGACTGTGAGGGAGAAGGTGGGTGTAGCGGATGAATTTGATGATCGGGGGGTTCGCTCACTATTCTGCTGCCCAAGGTCGCCTCTATGGATGCGCATGCCCAGAACACACGTCGGTTACAATAGGAAAAAAACGTTATTTGCGTTTTTTTTTTTTTTTTTACCGCATTAAATATTTGTAATTAATCTTGTGCGTTAACGCGCTAATTTTGACAGCACTAATATATATATATATGTGTGTGTGTGTGTGTGTGTGTGTGTGTGTGTGTGTGTGTGTGTGTGTGTGTGTGTGTGTGTGTGTGTGTGTGTGTGTGTGTGTGTGTGTGTGTGTGTGTGTGTGTGTGTGTGTGTGTGTGTGTGTATAAATATGTGTATATGTATGTATGTATGTATGTGTATGTATATATGTATATAATACAACTTTTATCTAAATTCAAACATCTGTAAATATTTGTGCAGTTTTGTTTTGATGTATGAGTGTGTATTACATAAACAAAATAAATATTTTTAATACGGCATATATAATGTAAAAACAAACTTTTTTTTTGGATGTTATTAATCTTAATCGAGCATAACTAAAAATGAATAAAGTGTTAGTTTTAGGCCCTTGTTAAGACCATTATAATTTGTTCTTCTCCTTTATGTGACCTGTTTTTTAGCTTGACGTCGGTGCATCAGTAGACAGCAGTTCATATTCAGAACAGACCCAGTGGGACGGCACACATGGAAACACGCACTGTGAAAGCTCTAGGAAACTGAACAGAGATGAAGATGGCCACATGCAAACCACTAGAGACAAACGCAAGTATGGGAGGCGATATTAACAAGTTTCTGCTGATGAGATATTGAGTTTTTAGTTTCAATGCTAATGGACTAATCCGATTCAATGATTTATGCTAAGCTAAGCTAAAAGTGCTTCTGCCAGACACGCAGATCAGCTGAATTCATTGAAAAATAGAAAAACTCAACTGTTTAAATCTAGTGGACATGTTAACTTAGCCAGTAATATTTCCAAAAAAGTGCAGTGTTCCTATAATTATTATATTGGCTTATTCTGAGTACACTCAAAAAATGACTTTTGCTGCTTGTTCAAACTACTTATTTGAAATAAGTTGAAATAACACAATTCTTACACTTTTTTTTTTTGGAGACAACTTAATCGTTTTATTTTATTTGTTGAATACACAAAGTTGCTAAAACTATTAGGTTAAATTAAACAATTTGTGTTAGCACAACATGAAGGATTTGTGTGAAACCCAGCATTTTTTTACATTGTAAGGTAAATAATAAGTTACTGATGTCCCACTGAGAAACTGATAATCCCCATCAATTCTCGACAGATCCATCAATGTAACCTGGACAAAAAAAGACATTGCAATTCCCCAAGGACCTTTTGGTGGGACCAGGACAGCCCTTCCTCAGAATCTAGGACTCTGTCATCCTCTGGGCATGCAATTCAACAGACGCACGTGTGAGTTTTACAAGCCTTCAGGCAGGGCCTTAGAGTTACACAGAAGAGCCCCTACATGCATTACCAGTTTTCGGATATTAATTTGATTAAGTTTGATTTCCTTTGCTTGGGTTTCCAGCTAACAGCAGCATTGGCGAAAGCTCAGTCTGGGAGAGCGTGAGAGGTTTTGGAGGGGAGTTTTGCTCCGACCGAGGACTTCTCCAGGCTCAGCAGAAGATCAGAGAGCTCTCCATCACCATTCGCATGAAGGAGGAGCTGATAAAAGAGCTGGTCAAGACAGGTAAGGAACAGCGAAAACCTAACGGCCAAAAATTGAAGTACTTAAAGAGCCCATATTATACATGAAATAGGGTCATATCTTGGTTGTAAGGGTCTCCAACAACAGTTTAATATGCATGCAAGGTCAAAAAACACTTTCATGGTCTTATAATCTGCATTTATTTTTACCTAATTATCCCAGCGACTCCTGTATGAATCGTCCAGTGATTCATTTGTTCCCAAACCCCTCCTTAGCGCAAAGCTAATCTGCGCTGATTGGACCGATGACAGTCTGTCGCGCGGGGACAGCCGCAGACCTCTACCACGGAGCTCCGTAAACAAAAAAGCACGCGTCGCGTTTTTAACGTGACTATGCACGCGATAAGAGAATATAGCCAGTTAACCTGATACAGTACACTCGGTACAAGTAACACATCACAACTAAATACATTTGCAAGCTAGAGTCAACGAGGCAACAACTTTAATCGCACGTGCTTAAACTTGAGAAATGGAGGAAGAAACCCATCCTGACATCCAGCAGTAAGTTACTCTTTACTGATCCTTCCTTTAACAAACGCAGATGAAGTATTCTTTGTAGCATGTAGTTTCCAGTAGTTTCCAACTGCTTGGTTATAATGCTGATGTTTCATCTTTGGGTAGACCCTCGATAATATTCATCTGCAGTGTGACTTCAATCGACCGGCATGTTTGTGTGCGTGTGTTTGTGGGTGTGTGTGTCTGGGTTTCTGCATCAGAGGGCGGGGCCTCAGGTTTGAAATCTCCCGGGTTTGCGCGTGCACGTGATTAACTTGGTTTCGTTCGTACGTCATGGCGAAACACCTAATGACTCGGTATCAAGGCGACTCGTTTGAAGCACTATGAGTCGACTCTTTTATAGATGAATCAACCATTTTAAACACTGTATTCTTACAGAATTAAGCCTTAGCTGGATACTTCACTTCACTTGGAGCTGTGTTACACACTACATGGAGGGGAATTTTCAAAACCCCATAATATGGGCTCTTTAACTATTACACTGCAAAATGTTTTTCTTGCTCTGAGTTTTTGGCTTGTTTCTAGCCCAAATATTAAAAAATTCGTAATTCAATAAGCATGTTGTAGACCATTTGTTCTCATAGTGGGGGTTAACCCATCCCCCCCAAGGGGTCACGGCACAAAGAAGGGGGGTCACCTAGTGATTTCCAAAAATCTATTTATTTTTATTAAACCGTAAGAATTATCATTTTTTATCCATAAACTATTGAAGAGAAAGAAAGTCGTTTATAGCTACTATATGCTATATAGTTACTAGTTCTATTGGATTGTGACCCCTGGGGTAATTATAATATATTAAAGACACAGCAGTAGGGTCAGATGCAGTAGATTAATTTTATAACACCAGATTAAACTTTCTGGCCCATTTACAGCACTGACATACATTGAAAAAATTAGACTAAGAATAGACTTGGGTCTATTGGTGTGAGTGTGTGTGTGCACCATTGCATTTATTTAACCACTGTATTTAAAACCCCCTCAGAGGATATAGGGGGTCGCGAGTCACTGGCATTGTCATTTCGGGGGTCGCAGGCTGAAAAGTATGGGAACCCCTGTTCTAGACAAGCAAGAAAGATTGTCTTGTTTTAAGAAATAATATGCCAAAATTAAGCAAGTTTTTCCTTAAAATAATCTGCCAATGGGGTATGCAAAATAATCTTGTTTTTCCTTCTGGCATAAGATTATTTTGCATCCTGGCCAATTCTGCCCACTGGCCTCTGTCCATCATGGCCTCCTAACCCTCCCCATATCATTATTGGCTTCCTTCACTCTGTCTGCTCCCCACCAATCAGCTGGTGTGTGGTGTGCGGTCTGGTGTAAAATGGCTGACGTCGTGTCATCCAGGTGGATGCTGTGCACTGGTTGTGGATGAGGAGATTCCCCCCTATGTGTAAAGGGCTTTGAGTGCCCAGAAAAGCACTATATAAATGTTAGGAATTATTATTATTATTATTGTTATTACCCCATTGCAGATTAGTTTAAGAAAAAACACTTAATTTTGGCATTTTATTTCATAAAACAAGACAATCTTCATTGCTCGTCTAAAAAGCTGTCTAAATGTAAGAATTTATAGATATTTGGAATAGAAACAAGACAAAAAGTCCAAGTAAGAAAAGCATTTTTTGCAGTGTAATAAAAAAGTCAATATTAAAAGATGTTTTCAGTGCTGTCTATGGGATTTGGCTTGATAGGAATTCAGAGCTGGTTTATTTTTTGTGAATGTGCAAGTCTCACCTGCTATAGTTTAAAGAATATTAAACATTCAGCAGGGTTACCAGGTCCCAGAAAAAAAATCTTTGAATTCAATAAAACCACAAACTGCACTGAATTTGTTTTTCAAATGTGTTAAACAATTTCAAAGGTGTAAAATAAATATTGTACATATATTTTTTCCTGGTATATATAATATATATACAGTATGTGTATGTATGTATGTATGTATATATATATATATATGTATGTATATATATATATATATATATATATATATATATATATATATATGTGTGTGTGTGTGTGTGTATGTATATGTATATATATAAAATGCCACTTTTAAGATCTGACTTCTTTAAAAATCTGTGATCTTCACTCTCTGACTGATATAAAATATAAAGTGCTTATCATGTCTTTAAAATATGAAGAAAGTATTTTGCCCCAGTATTTTCAATAGAGTTTCAATGCTAGTCTGCTACTACTGACGGCATCTTGTTTTACGCTATAACAACTAATTGAATGCTTAAGTCTATTTAACTGATTGTATTTTAATTACATTGAAACATTGATGTTGTTAAAAGAACCCTATGAAATTAAAAATAGTCACATAAACCTTTCTCCGGAAGTTTATCATTGGCTGAAAACATCAGCTGTGCATATATCCCATTTATATAAATGCAAAAAAACTAATTATAATAATCATGTTTTCTCTTTCTGCATAGGGAAAGACGCTCAGGCCATGAACAGGCAGTACAGTCGTAAGATCTCAGAGCTGGAGGCCGAGGCAGAGCAGGCCCGAGTGGAGCTCACAGAGGCACAAAAGCAGCTGCAGGAGCTGGAGGTTCAGGGCGGCCGTGATGCCGCTGACCGCTCTAAAGCTCAGGAGTGCAGGAGGAAAATCGCAGCTGCGCAGAGCAAAGTTCAGGTCTGTGTCTGGCAGCTTTAGATCGCCGAAAGCCATCATTATGGAAATCCTGTTTGAGTGATGTTTGTCTTTAAAGATTTTAGGGTACCAATATTTCAGGATTTTAAAACCACAGTAAAATATAAAGCAATACAATAAAAAAAAACAATATTTGCAGCATCTACAACCAAATTTCCTGTTAACATTAGGAAGTTAAAATGAGTTTAAGATAAAATGATTTAAGTGAGTACATGTTGATATTACTTTCATGTATTTTGTAATACAATTGAAGGCAAAATTAATAGCCCCCTTCTGTAAATTTTTTATTCTTTTTCAAATATATCTAAAAAAAAAAAATGTAGTGATGTTTAACAGCAAGAACATTTTCCCAGTATTTACCCTTGCTCTTTTGGAGAAAGGCTTAATTCTATTAGTTTGCATCAGAAAAAGTTGGGACAGTATGGACAACACAACGTGATTTCTAAATTTACGTTGACTTGTATTTTTTTGTAGACAACACAACAAACGTTATTAAATGCGTTCCTCATGATTTTTATCGTTTTTATTTTATTTCAAAATGTATATGCAATCCAATTTTGGTTCTTGCAACTCATTTCAAATAAAGATGAAACAGTAAAGCATTTTTGTAATGTTGCCATTCCTTTTCACAACACTTAAAAGACACCAAGTCTTAATGTGGACAACAGTACCAAAAATCAAAATGCACCACAGATTCTCTGTTTGAGACATGTCGGGACTACAGGCAGGCCAGTCAAGTATGTGTATCTTCTTGCTCAGCAGCCAGGACTTTGCAATGTATTCATGAGCGTCCTTGGAAGAGAAGGCAGCACATTGTGCTCCAAAATCTCTATGTACTTTTCAGCATTAGCAGTGCCATCACAGAAGTACAAGTTACCTTTGCCACAACACAACCCCATACCATAACCTGGCTTTTGGACTTGTTGCTGGTAACAATCTGGATGATCTTTTTCTTTAGTCCAGTGCACACAGTATCCATTTCTCCTAAAAAAAAATACTTGAAATACTGATTCGTCTGTTCACAGTACACGTTTCCACTGTGTGATGGTCCATCCCAGATGCCTCCAAGCTGAGAAAAGTCGAAGACGTTTCTGTACAATGTTAGGGCTTCCTTTTGGCACAGTACAGTTTTCACTGGCATTTGTGGATGTAACTATATATTGTGGCATTCAACAAGGGTTTGCCAAAGTAGTTCTGAGTCCATGTGGTGATATCGATTATCGATGTGTGATGATTCTTGATCCAGTGTCGCCTTAGGGATTGGAGATCATGGTTGTTCAGCTTAGGCTTGCGCCCTTGTCCTTTTCGCACTGAAATTCCTCCAGGTTGAAAGATTATGTGCATTTTAGTTCAATTGCATTTACATTGAATGAACTCTGATGTGATCAGTTCTGTATATGTTGGGGTGACCTGTGCCTCAACCCCCACTAACTGATAGATGTGAACTAAATGACCCTTTTATCATGGGTGTGAGCCTTTTGAGTTTCAATGGTTAAAGCTAAACGATAGCTGAAACATCTGATAAGAGGGTCCTGCTTAGCCTTGCAAACACAGAATGGTTTGTTACCCTCTCACAGACAGTACTTTGGGATAAGTTACCTGAAGACCGATGAGTTAACATCACTGCTGAGGAACTGCACGATTGATTGTCTTCAATGAAGTCTTCTCCCCATAAGAACTTTGGTCAGCTTACTTATTTTATGTATTAGAGTAATCTAATACATTGGCGAGCCACTCAAGAACGGTTAAGCCAAATACAGCAAAATCTTACAAGGTTTAGACAGTAAACATTTCAATAATTTCCTTGCATATTTGTTAGCAAACAGGTCGTCCTTGGCCCATCTTTGCTCCTAAAGGAGTAGACCTTTCTTGGATGTAGATTTTATACCAAATCATAATTACAGTCACCTGTTGACATCACCTGCTTAAAATCACATCATTATTTAACAAATTTACCTGATTTTTTTCCCTAAATTGCTCCTGTCCCACCTTTAGAATGTTTTGCAGGTCTGAATGACAGGAAAGGATGAAAATTTACAAATGAAATGAAGTTGACCAGACAAAACATGGAATATTTTGTGTTTAAATTGTCTGCAATGAAATACAAGTCAAAGTATATTTAGAAATCATTGCTTTCGTTTTTTTTATTTGCGTTTTCCACACGGTCCTAACTTTTTTCTGAATTAGGGTTTGTATTAGTCCTCTTAAGAAATAATTGTAAAAGTTTTTCAACAACGTGCCTAATTAACCTACATAAGCCTTTAAATATCACTTTAAACTGTTGTGTTTAATAAAATGAAATGGCACAGGAAAAAAGTATTAAACACATGAAGAATGGGAGTTTTACAAAAGACTGGAAAGCCCAGTTATATTACACATTGCTCATTTTTCTGCAAGTTTTTTTTTTTTTTTTTTGGGGATTGTTTTTACCAAAATCAACAGCTCATTTAGAAATACAGTATATTTACCAGGAAAATGATGATGTGTTCAATACCCACTGCATAATATTAAACATTTTACAGTACTTTTTTTTTATTCAAATCTGGGTTAATTCACATCAACGTCTCATTTAATCTAAGATTAGATTTTTACCAGGGAAAAATTATGACATGTTTTATTCTTCTTTTACCTGCTGTATAATATTTTCATAAATCTTTGCATTTTACAGTGCGTATTCTGTCATTTTAAAATTGTAAAACTGTAAATGTGCATGCATGCTTTCAGGTGTTAAAGCAGAAGCAGCGGGACACTGCGCAGCTGGCCTCTCTGTCCGCTCAGAGCGAACGGCGCGTGCAGGAACTGGAGAGAAACGTGCAGAACATGAAGCAGCAGCAGGACCTTCTGCAGCGCCGCCTGCGTGAGGAGAGTCAGCAGAAGAGACGGCTGGAGACCGAGATGCAGAAAGGAAAGCACAGAGTCAAGGTGCATATGCTTAGTATCAGTGCAGAAGGGGGAATAGAAATTGAGAGTAAACAAGGAATTTAAAATGAAGCTGGATTTCAGCTGAATTGCAGAGGCTTGGTAATGATTGTTATTAATTCTAAACATAGGCTCTGGTGGTTCTGGTTTATTTGAATGAATATATCGTATAAGAACTTTTTGAAGAGGTTAATCAGGGAGGATACTTTAAATTGTTTAAAAGGGAAAGTAAAAATATTTTTTTAAAGATTTCTGTGTTAAAATAAACATTTCTACTTTCTGCTCGTTATGGGGGAAAATTTTATCATGAATGTCACAAAAAACATTAACCAGCAACTGTTTCAACACTGATGATAATACAAATAACAATAATAACAATAATAAAATAATTTTGGAACCAGAAAAGCATATTTAAATTATTTCTAAAGGATCTTTAGACAAAGCATAAGTGGAGTAAAAATGCTGAAATACCGTCACAGGGAGACATTGTTCAATAAATTCAAATCTTCTTGACCTTTCTACTGGAAATAAACTGCATCATGGATGTCACAAAAACATTAAGCAGCAACATTCACCACTGATGATGATGATGATGATGATGATGAATATGATAATAATAATAATAATTACAGGATCAAATTAGCATATTAGACAGAGCAAATGTGGAGTAAAAATGCTGAAAAATCTGCTTTTTCTAACTAGCTTTAAAGGACAAGTTCATCTATGTTCTCGTTTAATCAGCCTTTGCACCCAAATCAGATTGAGCATCTTTCATCTGTTGAACACAAAAGATATTTGGAAAAATGTTGAAGTTTGGTATATAAACACTGATTTCCGCTGGTTTCCTACTACAGATCTCAGTACCTACCAGATTCCAACATTCTTCAAAAAACCTTCTTGTGTTTAACAGAAACAGTTAGGCAGCAGCTATTTCACTACTGGTGATGTATCAATAATATTATCATGATTAAATGATAATTAAGAGTCAAATTAGCATATTAAAATGATTTCTGAAGGATCATTAGACAGAGCATAGGTGGAGTAAAATTGTTGAAAAATCAGCTTTACCGTGAAAGGAATACATTTTTAATTCAAAGCACTAGTTTTAAAGGAATAGTTCACCTAAAAAAAGAATTATGTAATGATTTAATCAGCCTTCGTGCCCAAATCAGTTTGAGTTTCTTTTATCAGTTAAACACAAAAGATCTTTAGAAGAATGTTTGAAACTACTACGGATCTCAGTGACTACAGGATTCCAACACTAATGATAATTAGAGGATAATTAAGGAAACAAATTAGCATATTAAAATTATTTCTAAAGTGTCATTAGACAAAGCATAGGTGGAGTGAAAATGCTGAAAAAGATTTAGCATCACAGAATACTTTTTTAATTGAAAACACTTGTTTTAAAGAAATAGTTCACCCCCCAAAAAAATAATTATGTAATGATTTAATCACCCTTCGCACCCAAACCAGTTTCAGTTTCATCTGATAAACACTAAAATATTTAGAAGAATGTTGGAAACTGTTGGAAAACCTTGTTCACAAAGCATAGGTGGAGTAAAAATGCTGACACTTTACACCCAAGCCAGATTGAGATTCATTCATCTGTTAAACACAAAAGAAATTCAGAAGAATGTTGGAAATTGATATACAATCACCGATTTCCATTGGTTTTCCAGCTGTAGATTTAAGCGACTACCGCATTAAAAATATCTTCTTGTGTTAAATGTCTGTTCTTGTGTTAAACAGACACAATTACACAGCAGCTATTTCACCACTGGTGATGTATAAATAATATAATTATTATTATTATAAGATAATTAAAGGACCAAATTAGCATATTAAAAGGATTTCTTAAGGGTCTTTTGACAAAGCATAGGTAGATTAAAAATGCTAAAAAAAAAAAAGATTTACCATCGCAGAATATATTTTTCATCGAAAACACTAGTTTTAAAGAAGTAGTACACCCTAATCAGAATTATGGAATGATTTAATCACCCTTCGCACCCAAACTAGTTTGAGTTTCATCTGTTAAACACTAAAGATATTTAGAAGAATGTTGGAAACTGCTTTTAGAACATACTCTTCACGCCAGATAAATAAGATCTAACCCAGGATGCCAGATCCTGTCAGAGATGTTGGTTTTTCTGGGTATCAAGACAACAAGTCAGCGGAGCCACCTAATAATCAAACCTGTTAATCAGTGTTCAACTGAATTAACAGTCTCCTATCACTGGGAAGCTGTGACTGAGAAAGCTAGAGAGGAGCAGAAGCAGGAGACTAAGTAATGATGATAAAGAGAGCAGAGTTTATTGAGTAATCTTAGTTGCGTATTATCAATGCTCAGACTTCATCTGACCACGATAATTCCAACAAGTGTTATTATACCACAAGCTACAGCAATGGAAAATTACTGCTTATGAAACAAGTCTTGCTTAGATTCACACAGTCATAAGTTTATAATACATGGATAAATTAAATAATATTAAAGCAATAGTTATAGAAAAATGGTAATAATAAAATATAGAAACATAATAAAATGACAATAATTAATAATCAAATCATTAAGTAATGATCAATAAAATGCTAAAATGATGATCATATAAATGACTACTGATCATATGATTAAATTAAATATTTAAATGAAGAATTAATGAATATAAACTAATGAAAATAAAACACAACACAAATGAGTGGTTGATTTCTTGAAACATAAAGTTTGCTACAAGGATTCTCAGATTTTTCACTGCTATTTAAACATTGATTTCCTACTATGGATCTCAGTGACTACCGGATTTCAGCATTCTTCAAAATATCTTCTTCTGTTCAACAGAAAACTGAACTATTTTAGTTTTAAATAGTAGTGTATACAATACAAAACTTACCAAGCAGATTTTCTATCGTAAATATATAAGAATTAAGGTATTTTTCTGTCTCTGGTGCTACTGATTACTCCTCTTTCCTTGAATGGTACTGTTACTACATTTTGCAGTCTACTTTTTTCTTTTTGTAGTGTTCATCACAGATTTTTATTTTATAAAACCATGTTCTGTTCTGTTGTGTAAGGGCCAGCATTAGTCATCTTCTTTTCTCTGTTGTGAACAATAATAATCTACAGAGAAACCGCAGCCTCTCGGTTATTCTCGTGGTTCAATAGAGAATCATTCACCAAGCAGTCTCTTTCTCTTTCTCAAAGGAGCTGGAGATAAAGAACGAACAACAGCAGAAAATTCTGAGGATTAAGACGGAGGAAATCGCAGCCTTCCAGCGGCAAAGGAGAAGTGGAAGTAACGGCTCGGTCGTATCACTAGAGGAACAGCAGGTGGGTTCAGACAGAGAAGCCAAATTGTGCTTCTTTTCATCGAACCCTTCCCGCAGCTATTACCCAGCATTATTTTTAGATCTGTTTACTCAGTGTTTAATAGTTTGACTGACGTTTGAAGGAATTTTATTATTCTCACCTTGAGGAAAAGGGTACATTTCAGTAGCTTGTTTCAACACGTATGATTTGTTGCCTAAATTTCCTCTTAGCCTGGTATTGGCATGCGATTTATGTTATTGATTCTAGAATAGATTCTATAATACACTTGCTGTTTCCAAGGACATGGTTGTGAATTTGATTCCCAATGGAATCCCAATTTGATTCGTTTTTGAATTTTAAAATAAAAATAAATAAAAAAAACTGCTATTTTTTATTTTTTTTTTATTTTTTGCAATATGCTAATCTAAACTGAAAATCCAGTGACCAATAGATACATGGACCCTGCACAAACATACACAAGTTGACCTGTAAATCCAATAATAATAATAATAATAATACATTTATTATGAAATGTATTGCGCTAAGACTGCAGCTCTGCACAAGACTTTTGGCCAGCGGAGAAATTAAAATGGTTGTGCTGAACTGAGTCTGGTTCTCTCAAGGTTTTTTTCTTCACTCTCCCATTGGTGAAGTTTTTTTTCCCTCTCCGCTGTCGCCACTGGCTTGCATGGTTCAGGATCTGAAAAGCTACTCATCGATGAATTTGCTCTTCAGTGTTTGGACTCTCAATAATGACTTCAAACCACACTGAACTGAGCTAAACTGAACTGAACTTAAACACTAAAAACTGAACTACCCTGATCCAGTTACTATGAACATTTATGTGAAGCTGCTTTGACACAATCTACATTGTAAAAGCGCTATACAAATAAAGCTGAATTGAATTGAAATTAAATTTTTTCAGAAATATAAAACTTTTAAATAGCCTAAAAAACACCTTGGCATTTTAGCAAATTGTATCTCTTTCCATTAGGTACATTTTAAATTCGCTATTTTAATTTGCACAATTTGAAAGGTATTGGCAACGCACCTGTTAAGTGTTGGTTGCATGCATTCACACTACTAGCGATATCAAAGTCACTTTCATGTCAGTGGAGAGCTAGCACCTTTTTTCTGAAGCATGTAAGTGCATGTACCATATATAATAAATCGTAACATGAAAAACATCTGGTTGAGCAGAAGATAGAGGAGCAGAAACGCTGGCTTGATGAGGAAATGGAGAAGGTTCTGGATCAACGACGTGGCCTTGAAGACCTGGAAGGAGAGCTGACCAAGAGGGAAGAGATCTTAGCCAAAAAAGAAGCTTTACTCTGGGAGCGCAGTGGCCTGGAATCCAAAAAGCTTCGCTCAAGCCAGGTCTGTATGCATTCTATGGCTTTATTTCCCCACATTTTGAGTCTGTCCCCACATTATTCTGCAATGAGGAGGTAAGCTTGTTATTGCAGTTTTAGATCTTTCGATTCAGTTGTCTTTGGGAGAAATGACTTAGAATAGCAAATGACAGAAAATGGTCAAACGACTTGATGTACAGACAAGTGTGTTTATGACATAAAGCCAAAAAATATATAGTTATAAAATCATAACGAGCTGATTTAAGGCTAAAAATTAATTCAAGTGAGTGTGACCAGAAGTCTCAAGCCAATAAGGTTTCAATGGCTACGCCTTGCTCATACATGACGAATGAGATCAATAAATTGGCATGCTCTGTTTTCTCTGCAGGCTCTTAGTCAAGACCTGTTAACTTTGTCGAGCCGGATTGAGTCTCTGGAACGGGAGCTCACTGAGAGGAATGGTCTTCTGCGGAGTGGCAGTGCTCAGGATTCCCAGCAGATCAGACAGGAGATCTCCAACCTTCGGCAGGAGAAGGAGCTGCTGCTCAAACAACGAGTGGAGCTGGATGACAAACTTAGACAGGGCAACCTGCTCTCTCCTGAGGTGAAAATCACAGAGTCTCAACTCCAAAACCAAAGTTATTTGAAATTAATGCATTCGAATTTTGGGCTTTCTGAGATTTCAGCTTTAGAAATTCCTATCTGCTTTGTTTGCTTGATTTAAAAGTGCTGTGTGGACGTTTTGGACTCTTCTAAAGCATAAAAATACTATAATATGTTTGCAGATATTTAAGAAACATGCTAAGTGAACATTCTTGTTTATCTGAAAAACATTGCTAAAGTCAGATATTCTGCTTTAATAATGTGCGTTATGTGCCAGAATGCTTTCTTTGTTTTGATTCTTCTAACCAGTTTAGCCAGTTATATTTCAGCATCTCGGTTTGCCTTACTGGAAAACCGTGTATTTTATTCATTCATTTAGAAAGGCTCTCAAAGCATGCACCTGTGTCCAAAATGCGCCCTCTGGTGGACAGTAATGTTAACAGACTCTGAAATGAGACGCAGATTTAGAGTTCAACATGAGGTTATTAATTACAAATTATATAAATATTTCGAACATAAACATTAGGTGGGCAGGTTACATTGTTTGTCCTGTACATTGTTGATGCTGTTTGCATCAGATGAAACATGACAGAAATTTGAATACAGCCTTTCAGAAGCCCAGAATATGCAATCGCTCATGAAATTGTAAGGTTTATAATCTAATTAATAGATTTTAAATCTCTTTAACATTATTAAATATACATGCTGAATCATTGATATGTGTTGGATTTTCAGCTGCAAGAAATAGAAGCCGTTTCTTATGCTGCGTTCACACCAGACGCGGAAGAAGCATCAAGCGCAAGTGATTTACATGTTAAGTCAATGCAAAGATGCAAATAGACATCCTGCAGTGAGATTCACGTGAATGAGGCAGCGCGAACGATGCGATTTAAACAGGAGCTTGCTCTTGTGGGGGCGTGATTATGTGCCTGTTGTTGGTGTCCCTGGGGAAAGTCCTCCTGCCGACACCAACTACAGTTCATCAAACTGGGCTTGCCTCAGTCAGAAGCACCGAGAAAGCTTCCATCATCCAGGTTAAGTTTCTGGGGGATTTTATGAGCTCACAGAGCTGGGTGCACCTCTGAAAGGTGGACTCAGACACTGCTCCAAACGAATCAACGCTTTTTTTCAACCTTTATAAAGCCATAATACACAGCTATTGTCTCAATAAAATCCATGTTAGCCAATTAGCAACGAAGCTAGAGAAGCCCGGCCCATCATGTGAATATGATTATTCACCTGAATTTGACGCATGAATGAAGCGAGTAGACTCGAAAGGTTCACGCTTCTATTTACACGCGAATAGCGTGATTTATCTACGCTTGCCGCATCTGGTCTGAACACAGCTTAATATTTCAATTCAAGGTGTTGGTTAGAACTAAAACTCCTTTTAATATGGAGAATATTCCTTCTATCGTGTGCCGTTGCTTTTATTTAGAGCACGGTTTAAATCAGCCTTAACGCTCAATCATCAGACTCACTCCTGTTGGTCCTCAATCTGGCAACCTGCGCTTGCATTTGTTTTGATTCAGGAATGCAATATCTAGTTCAACCAATTTTGTCTTATTTACCACATTAGAAGCTAGTTCACACAGAATTTGTTTCTACATAAAGTAGTTGTTTCACACAAAAATCTCTTGTGTCAATATCATTCTTAAAGTCATAGTTCACCCATTATCTCCCTCATGTGGTTTTAAACAGTGTGCGAATTATACATTGAGGATCAGAGGGGGTCAACTGTTTCGGTTAGTTTGTGTAATTCATGCTTCAGTCATTTCTGTATTTATTTTTTAATTATATCTAGTTTATTAATTAAACATATTTATGTTTTTTAGCGTTTTTAGGGATATATAGTGTATTCTGATCTACATTATTCTCTGATTAGCTATTTCAGATGTTACTGTAGGTTAAACTACCAGATATGCGTCTAATTTGATTTTATTTCCAGGTTTAATATAGATAAAAACACCTATTTTACAAGCAAACAAAGTAACATGTTAATTGGTGCGCTAGATCTGCTGCTCTCATACGTTTTTCACGAATAGACTCAGTGGTGCAATTATGCATTAACAATGGTTTGAACCATTATAGGGGTGGTAATTTCTTAATAAATCCTAGTCAAATCTATGCTTTACACCAAGTTCTAACTAGACACGATAGAACACTGCAACATTCAGTGGATGTTTTTGCTAATGAGACTTTTTGTCCTACCCAACCAAGACAACCATATGCATTGAGCAACAAAGGATTCTATTTTAGGAGTTTTTTTTTCTCCCCGCAACATTGTGACTGGAACAACAGCACACAAATTATGGTAATTATAATCTCAGGTAATGACTTAGTGCTTTTTTTATATTTAATGAGTGTCATTTGTGTTTAAGTATTATTTTACGTGACCTTTTTAAATACTGAAAAAAGCGACAATGGATAATTGACTACATGGTTTTAAAACGGAATGAAAGTTCAAAATATGAAGTTGATGTAAGCAATGTAGTAGTCCGTTACAGAATCTCAGTTTGTATTTTTTAATGTTATAATTATTTAATATTCATAAAATTGATTATATACTTATTTATTTTCAAGTGGCAATGAACTCTTTGGGTTCTAGTTGTGTCTTTGGATTTTATTTATTGCATTTTGTGTACTGTGTAAGGCATGTTTTTTGTGGTGTATTTTTTTGTTTTATGTTCTTTTTTTATGTTTTCTTTAGTAATTTAGTTTTTCTAATTGCTTTATTTTCTAGGTGGAGGCTCTCTTTGTATATTTGTGTTTTTCTGCACCTCCCTGCACATTATAGATTGTCCTCTTTTGATTTGTTTTGGATGTATTTATTCTATTTTTGTGCTAAATAATCTAAACATAAACCAAACTAGAGAGAGAGAATGAGAGAACATGCTTTTCTGAGCATGGTGTTGTTTGGTATAGTTGGTATTTGTAATGTCCTGTTGTTGAGTCGCCTAGAGAGACAAATTGTTTGTTGCTTAAGTCATACTCCATCACATCTGGTTAGGATATAGGGCTCTATTTTAACAATCTAAGCACAAAGTCTAAATCACATGGCCAAAACCATTAAGGGTGTGTCTAAATCTACTTTTTCTATTTTAAAGATGGAAAAATACGGTTTGCGCCCCAGCGCATGGTCTAACAGGGTTGTGCTTATTCTCTTAATGTGTTATGAGTGTGTTTTGATCATATCATGCTTTAAACCAATTAGTGTCATGTCCCATTTCCCTTTTAAAAGTCAGTTGTGTTGCGCCATGGCACATTTTCTATTTACATGGCAACTTTGTAAGTGGAAAAACTGAACACGTCACTAATGAAAAAACTGGTAAACAGCATCTGCAGCGCAAGGATAAATAATAAGCCTCCTCCATTCATCCTCTTTACTTTCTCTTTACTTTTACTCTGCTTTACTTTTGTGGATGAGGAAACAGTGTTGTATGCACTCCACTGAAGACATCCATTAGCCTAAATATTTCATTTCATTTGTTAAGCTCAAATATTTGTTTTAAAACTGTTTCTAAAATCCGTTCTAATTTCCAACAAACAAATAAATGAACAATAATAACGAAGTGTGGTCAAAGTGAGTTATAATCAAAAACACCTCCTATTTTTATGCCCCATACGGTGATGCAGACGTCTCCAAAACCAGACAGATGGACAAATCTAAACTTGTTTTTTTTAACAAATATAAATATGCATATAATAAAAAAAACACAATTAATAATAACATTATACAAAAGCCAAAAGTCATGAATAAAGTGGAAAAAGCCCCCCGAAATGAAGAAGACATGGAGGTAGTGGTTTTTATATTTATGTAGAAAATAATAATTTTTGCAACATTTTAAGTGAAGTTTATGTATAAACAAATTTTGAGAGGATCACGTGCTTATGATTGCTAGCGGCTGGATCCGCATTATCCAGTTCACTACGCTCCAATCAGATGACTCCTAAACTACTATAAATACCCTGGGTTTCATTCCACTGCTATCTTCGTTTTGAAGAGTCCCCCCTTCCTCCCCTACTCCTCCTTCTTAGACGGGTGACACGGTGGCCCAGTGCGTAGCGCTGTCGCCTCACAGCAAGAATGTCTCTGGTTCCTGGCTCAACGAAACTAGCAGACATTTCTGTGTGGAGTTTGCACTTCTGCCCATGCTCACATGGGTTTCCCCCGGGTTCCCTGGTTTCCTCCCACCGCCTAAAAACATGCAATTAAGTCAATTGAACAATCCAAATTGGCACCATAGACACGCTTCTAGTACGTAGTTATTTTCAAGAGCAATCACTTGCTACAGCAAGGGAATTCTCGATATCTACCTGAGCTCAAACTCCCTTCCCGCCTTGCAACGGGAGGGAGCCCTGGGCTCGAGGATCTCATGAGCTCAGGGCTCTCTCCCGGGACAGCATGCCAAACAAGCTTTTATAATTAAATCTAATTAAATTTAATCAGCTAAGTGTGAACTCTTGAAACCTATTTTTTTCATATGTAAAGATATTTGTGTATTGCTTTACATACTGCATGTATTAAGCAATGTGTAGGCTTTTAGTCCTGCATAGGCGCATAACTAACACGCTCTGCTCTGGACTTTAGACCAGCTTTTAGACCAGGTCAATGGCGCGTTCTATTTCGGTTCCTCAAAATAGCAATGTGCCTTAACACACCTCCTTTTCAGAACAGCACACTCATGAGTCCACAAAGTAGCGCAAATGGATTTGCTATTTAAACAACGTGGCGCAAAACATAAAAATTACTGTTGCGCTGGTCTGAAAATAGCAAAAAGTCATGCCAAACGTGTCTTGTGACTTATTGCGACGAGTGTATGATAGGTAACAAAGTGTTAGAGATTCAGACTGCGGTGGAAAAAATCACTTTTATTACTACTAAAACATTGATTTATTCAAAACCTCTTTCTTACTAGAAACACCACATAATAAGAAGAAACCTTCCTATAAAAACATATTACAAGAAGGGTCATTTAGTGGATGGTCATCTGCTTTGAAACCCATAAGTGCATATCCTGGAAGAGCATTATCTTGATGTTCAGAGGAGGAATGCTTTAAAGCAGAGATGCCCAAACTAGGGCCGGCAGGCCAAAGTTGGCCCATGGTAACCTTTGATTTGGCCCACCTTCTTAGTTTAGAGGAAGGATAATGAAGATGTTTTAGAGACTGTCATTTCTGATTGAATGTAACCGTTTGTTTATTTGTTTGTTTGTTTGTTTAGATTTTTTGTTTGTTTGTTCTTAATTGTTTGATTGATTGTGATTCCTAAGCTACAAAAAGCTAATGCAAATTAAATGTTTCAATTAAATAAGTCAGATTTTTAAAAAATGCACTTACGCCCCATTCACACGGGGCTTTAGTGTTAACGCTTGACAATGGGTGTGTCTGAAGTTGGGGCTTACACGATCGTCATAGCAGCGTCAGCTAATGAAATTAGTCAGCAGTCTGCTACTTTCTGAGCATATGTATTTGCATACAGCAATCTGATTGGCTGACGCTTCCGTCGGCACTTGAAAAGTTGAGCAAGTCCCAACTTCTGCAGCGAGCAACGCCTCTGAAGCGGCGCCGTGTGAGTGTCAAAGTGAATGGGAAGCGTTGACGCCGACGCCCTGTGTGAATGGGGTGATACCATCACCCGTTATATAGAGGACAGTGCAGAGACATCAGTGAGCAAATGAAGGCAAAGGCAGATTCTCCTTGACTAGTGTATTTAGCATTGAACTCCAATGTGCTATAAATGTAATTGTTTGTGTGTCTGTTGTAATAAGTTATAAAATATATATTCCATTAGTTAAAACGATTCAAAGTGTTTTCATTATTATTATTATTATTATTATTATTATTAAAATAAATTAGAAAATTAACTATGGCAACTTTATTACATTAAAGTTGCCATAGTTAATTTTATAATTATATTTACCTTGTGCCCACGGCTCTTAGTGATATTTGGTTTTTGACCCTTCATACGAAAAGTTTGGGCACCCCTGCTATAAAGAGAGCTGGGTGTTATCTGTGATGAATCAGGGGAAAGATTATAAAACCTGGTGTTTGGTTAGCCTTTGTGTCACACTCTGCAGCAACTACTGCTCCTCTATGACTTTCGGACGTATTCTTCGCAAAGAATAAAATGTTTTTAGAAGTAAAGCTTGTAAGACTATCTTGATCAGTAAGACTCTCTATGTTTGAAATAGCCACAACAAGATTTTCCAACACTTAAAGAGATTAGTAATTAATGTTTTTCTTAATCTGTTAAGTCAATTAGAATATATAGTACAATAAAAATGTATGCTTTTATAATTAGTTTAATTTTTAATGCGCAAAAGGCATATGGTTTAAATTGCATGCATTAAAGCTGCACTGTCCTTTTTTATTTTAACAGGAAGAACGAACACTTTTCCAGTTGGACGAGGCTATCGAGGCTTTGGATGCTGCTATTGAGTACAAAAATGAGGCAATCACCCAGAGACAGAGGCAGCTGCGGGCGTCTGGAAGCATGTTGACCCAATGGGAGATGAACCTGATGGCCAAACTCACCTACCTGTCTGCATCAGAAACCAGAGCTCTGCTTTGCAAATACTTTGATAAGGTCAGAAAACATCCCGGTTGCTTCATATTATCCACACAAGTCTTGTTTATGAACTTGCATTATGACACTTCTAAGTGGTGTTATGTTTTATTGGAGGAGGTGTGATCTATTATCGTTTCAATTGGCAGACCATCATAATTCTGCAGCAAATACGTGTTAAACGATAACAACACTGTCACTTGTGCTCTTTGTGTTTATCACAGCAACACGTTCACTGCTAGCATGTGTGCTCACATTTAGACAGTTTTGGCAAATGCAGACTAGCTTATAATAACACACAGTTTACAGCTTTCTCACATTGTTTTCAAATCCATGCTCCCTTTTAATAAAGGTTTAGCTGTTTATCACATTAGGGAAGGTGAAGACTGTGTAGCTGAGTTACTTTTGAACAGCATGTATTGTGAAAACGGCTTTAAATGGAGCCTTTTCACAAGACTGCTATGATGCCTTTATTGATTATCGGTTTAAAAAAAGTATTAACATTTGTAAAGATTTAATAGTGAAGTCCAGATCCGATCAATCACGCGTTCAGGACTCTAATATTTACAGTTGAAATCAGAATTATTCGCGCGCCCTGTTTATTTTTTCCCAATTTCTGTGAACAGAGAAAATATTTTGTTCAGCACATTTCTAAACATGATAGTTTGTTCTGTAGACTATCGGAAAAAATATATAGCTTAAAGGGGCTAATAATTTTGACCTTAAAATGTTTTTAAAAAATTTGCAACTGCTTTTATTCTAGCAGAAATAAAAGAAATAAAACTTCCTCCAGAAAAAAATATATATATATTATCAGACATACTGTGAACATTTCCTTGCAAATGTAAAAAATAATAATAATAACTAAATAAATAAAAGGGGGGCTAATAATTCTGACTTCAGCTGTGTGTGTGTGTGTGTGTGTGTGTGTGTGTGTGTGTGTGTGTGTGTGTGTGTGTGTGTGTGTGTGTGTGTGTGTGTGTGTGTGTGTACATATATACATATATATACATATATATATGTATGTATGTATGTATATATATATATATATATATATATATATATATATATATATATATATATATATATATATGTATATATATATATATGTATGTATATATATATATATATGTGTGTGTGTGTGTGTATATATATATATGTATATGTATGTGTGTGTGTATATATATATATATATATATATATATATATATATATATATATATATATATATATATATATATATATATATATATATACATTTTTTAACACGCCTAAATGTGGTGGCACAGCATTTTACCTCTATCTTGACTTCACACAGAAACAGCAATGTGCGTGGCATGATGTTGTTAGGTTGAAAGACGATGTCATTGTCCATCGCCGATGGCCGATAGACATCACAATGCTAAGCCGGCATCGTGATCCTCCACCCCATCCCCGTTGCAGCAGCAACCCACTCGCAAAAAACACTCACTTAGGCCCCATTTACATTAATACATATTAGTTTTTAAATGACATTTTAGAGCAAAAACGATCCACGTCCACACCGGGGTTTTGCTTAGCATTTCTGAAAAGCCCTCCTTCCACTCTATACCACTGAAAACGCACATCATGTGACCGCACAAACACAAACACACACTCTGTCATGCGCTGCAGCGTATGCACGTGTCTGAGCTCCAGCAGCCAGCGGGTGCTTTGAACACAAAACCCCAGAGGGCAGTGTACGTTGGACAGTTTATCGAGGATGGATTGCACTGCTGGATTGCGTCTCACTATAGTTGCTTAATGTGATATTAAATTCATCTGGTCTCTGTCTAACGACTCTTCTGTCTTGTAAATCTATTAGATAACGTGTCACAGCATCAGCACACTGCTTGAATCTTTCGCTTTCACGTTTGTACTTGGTCATTTTAGTGAAAACCTCAGATATGGTTGGTTGGTTCCTATTGGTTGTGCAAATTTTTTACCAGGCAAGTTTGTTGACATTTATTTTTATAAAATAAGAGCATCCTGGATCTGTTTCTTTGCTCTTCTTTATTCTTATTTTTTGCATTATAGAAGAATCGGATGGGTTTAGGTATTGGCAGATGCTCAAAATCAAATGACTCGAACCCAAGGGCAAAAACCCTGATGGGGAAATCCCTAATATTTATGTTGGTATTATATCATCCTTGCATCAAATTACAAAAAACTAATTATCGCTTATGTGAGGTGTTTCTATGGTTTCAATAGTGGTCTATGGGAACACTATATTTGATTTTATTCTCTCTTCTTGCTGGCGTAAAGGCTGATTTATAAAGGCTAAATAAAGTAAAGTGAAGGCTGATAAAGTGTATGCTTATGCTACGACGCTGAATATGCGTAGTGCTGACGAGTGTGGACGGGACAGAGAGCCGTGCGAGTCTGTTGGAGCGAGTGTTTAAAAGTGTCAAGTCCCGTGAAGGAGCTCCAGATGGAAAGTTTGGTTTTGTGTTTACCTTATGGTTAAGGTTGTTGCATGCATGCCGGTTCCTGCCTCAAAATGAGCGAGTTTGAGCCACGTGTGCATTAATGGCTCGTTTCCACTGATTTGTACAGTACGGTACGGTACGGTTCGGGTCGGTACGGGTCACCATTATCAGGCTTGCGTTTCCACAACCAAGGGTACCCTTTTGGTGGGCGTGGTGTATGACAAAGTTTCAGTCGACGTCATTTTCGCTCAAGAAAATGTCTACAATAAAGCTGCACAGGTCGTTCACATATCATATGAAAAGCACTTCTCACAAAACAGATGCCTAACACACATAAATACTTGTATATAAATGTTAATTACTAACTTTTCTATGAACAGGAGTTGATTATAACTGCAGATCAATGACGGTGCGAAATAGCCTACTGTAACGTCTGCAATTATATTAAATAAATAAATAAATGAAGTTTCACAAACTAATTTCGAGAGGAGCACGTGATATGATTGACTGCAGCTGGCCACTCATCTACACTCATTAGCTAGCCAATCAGATCGATTCAAACTCACTATAATAACCTAGCTAAGATCTACACCCCTATCTTCGTTTTCCGAAGAAACCCCCCATCCACCCCTTCTCCTCCTTTCCTCTTTTGCCGAGGGGAGCTCTCGAGAACACCTGACCTCGTACTCCCCTCACATGCTTTATGGACCTGGCGGGAGCCCTGGGCTCAACTATCTCCGAGCTCAGGGTTTTCTCCCGGGACAGCATGCCAAACCTGCTAACTTGCTAACAAGTTGTCAAACAGTATCTAAGTGAGAACTCTTGAAATGAACATTTATGAACACATACAGCCCCTTAAAGTCTCCGATATGTTACCAACTACAGAAGAACTACACAAAGCAGACATTTCGTCGTTAATTAGGTTCAAAACAACACAAAGTATAGCCTACAGTCAGTGAAAACCTCTCATCTGTGTCTGTAATCTTCAGCAGCACATGAAGCCTCTGTTGGAGAGTCATTCCATCATTTCCAGTTCATATTAGTCCAAAAGGTGATAATAAAGATTAAAACAAGGCAGTTTGTTCACGTTTGCTGAAGAAATAATATGTTCCTTGCTTCGCCTTTTTTTCTGCGCCCCACTCTTGCGTTTGTCCTTTTCTTTCTGAATGTGTCACTCTCGTTTTTCAGCTTCTCACAAGATCGGGTTTCCAAAAGCTTGTCAATAATCAAGTGCATGTTATTATTATCAGCTCAAGAAGTTTGTTATTTTAGATAGAGACGCGCAGCGAAAGCAAGGAAGAAAGCAAAACCACTTGGGCTTCAGACTGGCTCGTAAAAAAAAAACTACGCGGCACAGAGTAAATCCGCTCTTCTCTATGGCTTTGTGGCTGTTTATCATGACGACAACAGTGTTTGTTTGCAGGATCGAACACGGCTGCATATGTATATATAATTCCGCTGTAATCTCTCGCTGTGCATTTCAAACAAGGCGGGTCCTTTGTTTACATTCTGGCTTGTTGCGTCTACGAATGACGTATCTCTGTAAACCAATAGCGTTCAGCTGCGCGTGTAGCTCCACCTTTTGGGACCTTTTCTGCAGTTTGGGACCCTTTCGAAAGGGTCCCGAAAAAGTGGTACGGTATGGTTTAGTTCGGTACGCCTTTTGACAGTGGAAACGACCATAAAAGCGTACCAAACCGAACCATACCGTACCACACAGTGGAAACGGGCCATAAGGTAGCGTTCAGAAAAAAGAGGAACATAAACGCATCACTGCCAGCTAGCGTTTCGGAAGTGTTATTGCAGAGGAACACAAACAGCGCAGAAGTATAAATGCACGGCAATGCGCAAGGCTTGCGCCATGGGTCATGCTGATCACTCGGCGCAGAAGTAAAACCATACTTCATCAGTCTCGCATACCCTTTTTCTGGAATACTTGCTAACACCATTCTGGAGTTTTTCTTTTATTACTTCAGCAATACAGAATTGCAAAAATCTATTTGTTGTACTCTCCCATTGACTGCACTCTACGATTACTCAACAATGATGACTTCTGCTACTGAGAAACCTGGAAATGTGAAAAGGGTCCATTGGAAAATGAAATATTTGTTTATTCACTTGGCCTCTAGCAAAGAATGCGTGTGTAATGATGCTTTGTATGTTTTGTAAAGGTTGTGTCTCTTCGTGAGGAGGAGCGCAGGCTGCAGATGGCTCTCGCTGAGCTGGAACTGAGAGTTGAGGAACAGCAGAACTTGGTTGGGTGGTTGGAGGCAGCTCTGGAGAGACAGCAGCTCGAGGCAGATCGCAGACTCACGCAGCAGCAGAAAGAGCACGAGAGGAACATCCAGCTACTGCTGCAGCAGTGCAGAGGTTTGTGTCCCGATGAAAATAAATGCCTTGTTTATACTAACTGGTACTATTTGGTATGGGCAACTCTGATCAGACTTGCCCTTAAAACCCTGATGTACTTTTTTTTCCATTTTTGGTTTGAGGGCAAAAATATTTAGACCATTATCAATGTTTGCTAGATTGTTCCTAACGTGTCTAGCTATGTTTGTTCAGGTGAATAATAAATAATTAATGTATTGTTTTAAGAAAAACATCTCTCGTTTGTCATCACATTTGATGATTACGGTCACACAATTCCTATTTTGCGCTTCCAAACTTCCGTTAAAGTCCAAATAAACAGGAAGCTGCGATCGTTATTTTTTTGTACTGTAACACAGTTCCTAGAGAAATGAAATATTAAATGAGAAAAGAGTGGGCGTGGCTTATTTTTTCTTCCATGGGATGATTTTATGTATTAAAGCAGGCATCTCATTCAGTAAGATCAGGAAATGAGTTTTAGAAAAGTTATTACAACCGAACAGTTTGTTAGCCACAGACGTAATCTGAGAAATGACTGAAAACAAACAGGAAGTGCATTTTCAGATTCTTCAATTACAGTTTACAAGGGCAAACTGATTTTTTTCTTAATGACACGCACAGATGAATTGATCACCACAAAACTAGCAATATGAGCTAACAAAATCATATAGTTAGTATGATTTCTTGAGGACTTTAAGGGCACATATGGCCTGTTTCTACTGAGTGGTATAGTACGGTACGGTACACTACGGGTTGGGACAATTTCACTGTCAAATTGCCATTGGTTTACAGAGAAACATCACTAGCGTGCACACAAGCAAGAGATTAAAAAGTTTAAAAGAGGCTAAGTTTGATTTTGTTTTTATATACACAATTATGGCGTCAAACTGCTGTATAAACACAATATTACAGTCGTAGCAGTTCGATATGGCTGTATATCGGCACTTGTGGAGGCACTAAGGCATGCCTCGCACCAGTACTGATTTTCAGCCATATCGCACTGCTATAAACAAGTGTGTGTGTGTGTGTGTGTGTGTGTGTGTGTGTGTGTGTGTGTGTGTGTGTGTGTATATATATTCGTCTCTTTTTCTTTAATTTAACAATTATTTGTAATGGACATTTAAAAGTCATATATTAAAGTTTATATATTAAAGTTGAAGATTTTCTCGAGTCTTATATGTTTTGCATACTAATGAAGCGTTAGCATGAAGTAGATAAATGCTTGTCTAAAATTAAATTCTTCCTGTCATCAGGGTATGTGCAGTTGAGAAAAGTCTTATGCTTTTATTGTTGTGCAGAACATTCGTAGAAAAAGAGGGCTTATGTCTGGGATGCAGCCAATGGAGGACTGGAGAATGATTGACAAGTGACAAATTTCATTAATGAATTTCAGTCAAATATTTCACTGAACAGATTCGCCACTTTTGATGCTCATAAACAATCATAAAGTCCTCATGCTGCAGGAATTAGGAGGTTTGCTGAAGGTGCAGCTGTGGTGCAGTTAGGGGTTTGCGTCTTTAATAAACTATGACAGTTTGCGTTCATTGAACAGTAAGAATGATTAATAGATCTGTGTCAAACAGTCCCTTAAAGTAATGTCTCGCGCTCGGTTACGGAGAGCGCCAAAGCCCAAGTGTACCGTGCTCAGGCACACCTCTTCCAACCGAGCCAGGGCCGGCCAAGTGAACCTTGCCTGAGCCCAATTCAGAGCACTCACACTTCTTAAACGATTTGGGAAACAGGCCTGGGCATTGTGTGAGTAGGTCCTTAATGTAAGTTTTGGGTATTTTTTATTTGCAATTGGTAACATTTCATGTGTTCATAAAGGTTTTATTTTTTATTGTTTTATATAATTGCAAATGTTACAGTAAGCTACAGTAGGCGATTCTCATACGTTATCTGAAGGGTACCATTGGTACCCTATGGCAGTGAAGACACAAGCCTGATAAAGGTGATCTGTACCGCACCAAACTGTACCACTCAGTGGAAAAGGCCAATTTTAGGACTCCAAATAAACGTTTTGTCTGTTAACTATCTTTTAAGTCCCCGTTGTAGTTTTTGTTCTCACCAAAAAATTAGAGCGTTCCTACATATGGTGTGGGAATGTGAGAAGGTCTATGAGATTTGGGAGAAATTTTCATTAATGTTGTCTGAAATGATAGGTCATAGAGTGAATTTATTTTTTGTTCTATTGTAAATTACATCTGAAGGATTTTGTATGGCCTCTCATATGATGAAGAAAATATCCAAAAAAAGAAAGTGTCCAAAAACATCTTACAGTATTTTTAGGGATAACAAAGATATAAATGGGTTTGGACTTATGTGAGATAGCGCAGGATATGTTATATAATCAGGGATAAATAATGGCTTCATAATTCACTGGAGCACTAGAGAATGTATGTCTGTTTTTTATTGCAGTCATAGAAATATTTCTGAACCGCTGGTGTTAAAATATGAGGCAATCCTCTACACGAATTCACGAATCACCATGAGCAAATAAGGTGAAAGTATTGTCAATTTATTGTGTTTTCAGAGCAGATGGATGAGGGTCTGGCGGGGAGACAGCGGCAGTATGAGGGCTTGATCCACAACCTCAGCAAAGAGCTGAATTTTTGCAAAATAGCTAATCAGGAGCTGAACATCAAACTCAGGGAAATGTGTGGCCCTGTAAATCTCACTGGGGAACAATGCAAAGGTGAGAACAGCTGCTATTCAGGGGCCAAAGTCATGTTAAATGTTGAGGTTTTTTCTGCTATTGTGTTTTTTGTGTCTGTGTTTGTCTAACTTTGTTTTATTTAAGGTTTTTCTTTTGTCCTGAGATAAACAGCTTGTTAAAGGGACAATTCACTCAAAAATGAAAATTCGGTTATTGTTTAATCTCGCTTCACTTGTTCAAACCCTATTTGAGTTCCTTTCTTATGTTGAACACTAAAGAAGATATTTTGAACAATGTTGGTTTCTGGAAAATGTTACTCTTGACATTTATATAATACATATTTATAGATTAAATATAAAAATATAATTTATACACTCACCGGCCACTTTATTAGGTACACCCATCCAACTGCTCGTTAATGCAAATATGTAGTCAGCCAATCACATGGCAACAGCTCAATGCATTTAGGCATGTAGACATGGTCAAGACAATCTGCTGGAGTTCAAACCGAGCATCAGAATGAGGAAGAAAGGTGATTTAAGTGCCTTTGAATGTGACATGGTGGATGGTGCCAGACTGGCTGGTCTGAGTATTTCAGAAACTGCTGATCTACTGGGATTTTCATGCACAACCATCTGTAGGGTTTACAGAGAATGGTCTGAAAATGAGAAAATATCCAGTGTGCGGCAGTTCTGGGGGCGCAAATGCCTTGTTAATGCCGGAGGTCAGAGGAGAATGGCCAGACTGGTTCCAGCTGATAGAAAGGCAACAGTAACTTAAATAACCACTTGTTACAACCGAGGTCTGCAGAAGAGCATCTCTGAATGCACAGCACATCCAACCTTGAGGCAGATGAGCTACAGCAGCAGAAGACCACACCGGGTGCCACTCCTGTCAGCTAAAAACAGGAAATTGAGGCTACAATTCACACAGGCTCACCAAAATTAGACAATATAAGATTGGAAAAATGTTGTCTGGTCTGATGAGTCTCGATTTCTGCTGCGACATTTGGATGGTAGGTTCAAAATTTGGCATCAACAACATGAGAACATGGATCCATCCTGCCTTGCATCTACAGTTCAGGCTGCTGATGGTGGTGTAATGGCTTGGGGGATATTATTTGCCACACTTTGGCCCTATTAGTACCAATTGAGCATCATGTCAATGCCACAGCCTGAGTATTGTTGCTGACCATGTTCATCCCTTTATGATCACACTGTACCCATCTTCAGATAGTTACTTTTATCAGGATAACGCACCATGTCATAAATTATCTCAGATTAATTTCTTGAACATAACAATGAGTTCACTGTACTCAAATAGCCTCCACATTCACCAGTTCTCAATCCAATAGAGCACCTTTGGGATGTGGTGAAACAGGAGATTCACATCATGGATGTGCAGCCGACAAATCTGAAGCAATCGCATGATATATTGACCAAAATCTCTGAGGAATATTTCCAGTACCTTGTTGAATCTATGCCACGATGGATCAAGGCAGTTCCGAAGGCAAAAAAGGATCCAACCGGTACTAGTAAGGTGTACCTAATAAAGTGGTAGATGAATGTATAATATGATATAATGTAATATTAACAATTTAACAAATTGTCCCATTTACTGTAATTTGTGTCACTTTGTTCACATGGCTGATAATTGAATATTAATTACATGATGTCGCTGCGCAGTTGACCACCAGCCAATCTCTGCATTGCTGATTATGATTTTGAGTATCTATAATTTTGTCCTTCACAACAAACACAGGAACACGTCACAGTCTCAGATCAATTCATCCAGATCATTTAATTCCATTCTTAAACTAGTTTGAAGAACCAAATAAGCCTGAGATCAGAAATCAAGATCGCTCTTGATTTGCTCTTCGTTGTTTGGACTTTCAGTAGTAAAAGTTAAACCACACTGAACTGAACTAAACTGAACTTCAACTGTGAAATCTGGACTGACACAGTTTAGATTTACTAGAACTTCTATGTTAAGCTGCTTTGACACAATCTACATTGTAAAAGTGCTATAGAAATAAACATTAATTTAATTGAAATGTTAAAACAACTTATTTACAACCCCAAATCAGAAAAGGTTGTGACAGTATGGAAAACAGGAATAAAGAAAGAAAGCAATGATTTACAAATTTACTTTGACTTGTATTTCACCGCATACAATATGAACACAAAATATTCCATGTTTTGTCTGGTCAACTTCATTACATTTGTAAATTTTCATCCTTTCCTGTCATTCAGACCTGCAATACTTTCCAAAGAAAAGTTTGGACAGGAGCAGTTGAGGGCTAGTAATCAGGTCAATTGGTTAAATAATGATGTGATTTGAAACAGGTGATGTCAACAGGTGTTTGTAATCATGATTTGGTATAAACGCTGCATCCAAGAAGGGTCTAGTCGTTTAAGAGCAAAGATGGGGCCGAGGATCACCAGTTTGCCAACAAATACGTGAGAAAATTTGTAAAATGTTTAACAACAATGTTCCTCAGAGAAAGACAGGAAGACATTTAGATATTTCCCCTTTAACAGTGCATAACATCATTAAAACTCTCAACAGTTTTATGTCGAATCCACCTAAATTAGTAAAACCTAATAAGTTAACTTAATTCCTTGATGTCGTCCCAACACAAACTAATTGTGTGGAACCTTCTTTGTTTGTTTATGAGTATTGTTCATTTTTTTCCCTCTGAATCTTCCCTTCAGGTCTGAATTGTGACAGTCTGCTTTTAGCTGGAGCTCAGAACAGAGTGGCTGAAGATGTAAAGCCTATCATTGACGCAGAGAGAGTTCAGAAGTCAAGAGAAGAGATGCGAGAGCTGGTAAATGCTCCTTTACCGGCCACATGGAGGCGCTCTTCACTCCCCACAGAGGACCAGTACACCATGGAGGAGCTCCGTCAAAGAGCAGCCTGTGAACTCCCCAATAACCGAATCGTTCAGCCCGGTATGAATTCCACACACTGGAGTGGGTCAACATCACTTCCCGTAACGCGACCGCGGAGAGAACCGAGGAGATCCAGCCTCAACACAGCACCACTTTATTCCAGTTCAGCAATAATAGATGTCCGGAGAAATCCAGTATAGAATAGGACTTTGTACATTTCCAGTAATTAACTATTTTCAGAGTATATTTTATTCTGATTTTTTTTTTTATTAAGAATTATCTTGAACACAATTTTTAGCAAATGTAAATGGCTTTTTATTTCATACATGATGGAAATTAAAAAAAATAAGTTGCCTTGACACGTGTTGTAGTACCCAGAACCGGTTTTAATCTTGAGATTTTTTTATTTCTCAGGCAACAATTTTGTTTGATTTTATTTCAAGACTTGACAGGAACACCACTGTATGGCAGGATGTTTTTACATTTAATCAGAAAAGCATACTAGTGCACTACCTGAAGTCTTGTCACCTATCCAAGTAATAGGAACAACAAATAATAACTTCTAGTTGATCATTTAGCATCAGATGTGGCTTATATGAAAGGCAAAGGCCTCTAGATTACACTTGTTTTACCAAAATAAAATATGATCATGCCTTAATTTTTAATGATGTAATTAGGGCTGTAAGGTCTGACTTTTTTGCAGGACTCCCAGAGTTCATCAAGATTATTTGGATTCATCTTCAATGCCTCCTCCTTCATCTTACCCCAGACATGCTCAATAATGTTCATATCTGGTGACTGGGCTGGCCAATCCTGGAGCACCTTGACTTTCTTTGCTTTCAGGAACTTTGAGGTGGAGGCTGTAGTATGAGGAGGAACGCTATCCTGCTGAAGAATTTGCCCTCTCCTGTGGTTTTTAATGTAATGAGCAGCACAAGTGTCTTCAGGCTGTTGATGTTGCCATCCACTCTGCAGATCTCTCGCACACCCCCATACTGAAAGTAAACCCAAACCATGATTTTTCCTTCACCAAACTTGACTGATTTCTGTAAGAATATTGAGTTCATGTGGGTTCTAATAGGTCTTCTGCAGTATTTATGATGATTGTGATTCAGTTCAACAGATGATTTATCGGAGAAATCTACCATCTGCCATTTTTCCAAATGATCTACTAGAAGTCAAGTTATTATGTGCTGCTCTTACAACTGGGATCAACGACAAGACTTTTGTCAGGTAGTGTACTTTTTTGTTTTTTTAGATACTATTAATGTTAAAGTAATAAAGTAATGTGTTTGTTTTTTTAGATTCTTGTAGATTCGTTACGAACTAATTTAAATATAAGTTATTATTAATTGGGTATTAGTACTTTTTTTATACACCAGTACTTTTACCTAATAAATTGATCAATTTTGCTAACATAAATTAAATAAACACATGATAAATATACTCACTGGTATCCCTTAAAATATCCAATAAACATACTATTAAATATGGGCAACACGGTGGCTCAGTGGTTAGCACTGTCACGTCACAGCAAGAAAGTCGCTGGTTCGAGTCCCGGCTGGGTTAAATGGCATTTCTGTGTGGAGTTTGCATATTCTCCCCATGTTGGTGTGGGTTTCCTCCGGGTACTTCAGTTTGCCCCACAGTCCAAAGACATGTGCTATAGGTGAATTGGATAAGCTAAATTGGCCGTAGTGTATGTGTGTGTACTGGGTTGCAGCTGAAAAGGAATCTGCTTTGTAAAACATTTGCTGGATAAGTTGATGGTTCATTCCACTGTGGCAACCCCTGATGAATAAAGAGGCTAACCCAAAGGTGAATAAATGAATGAATACTATGCGCTGGTACAGGGTTCCCAGTGTTGTGGGGAGTTAAACTCCAAACCTAATCAAACACACCTGAACAAGCTAATTAAGCTCTTACTAGGTATACTAGAAACTTCCAGGCAGGTGTGTTGAAGCTAAAGTCATCAGGACAGCGCCCTTCCTGGACTGACTTTGGACACCCAAACTTCCAGGCAGGTGTGTTGAAGCAAGTTGAAGCTAAAGTCATCAGGACAGCTGCCTTCCTGGACTGACTTTGGACACAAACTTCTGTAAAAGTGCATCAGATGATTTTTTATTTATTTTTTATTTTTTTACTAATTTTGTTTGCATAAATCTGTTAATCAACCTCAGTCCTTATCAAAATTACTAAACTGTTTAGAAAACTACAGGATTTTAACTCTTTAAAACTGATTTGGTGGGGGGAAAAAACACAAAATGACGCATTTTCAATATAAAAACTGGACTGGATTTTTTTTTACATTTTATTAAAGTTCTGGACATGTGAGACAATATTGCCTGATACATTGTTTTTGCTTGATTTTCATTTTTATCTCCTTAATTTACTGTTGATGGCTGTTTTTACCCCATTGACTTCCATTATAACCACTTTTGTTTGACTGCAAGCCTTGACACCATTTAATCATGCATTTATGATTGTTGGTGCTTTTCCCTGTTGGGAAGAGGTACAATTTGTAATTTTTACTGTTGAACATCAGTTGGCGCCATTAACGCTTTAGATAGGCCTGTGCAAAAAAAAAATAAAGCTTAGTTTCTGGATTTTCTATGGAAGTGTGAAGTGTGGGTATGTGTTTCTGAGTTTGAGAGTGGTCTTTACGCACTTACTTTGATGTGTCTGAGAAAATCAAAATAGGCATCTCAGCTTTCAGAACTACATGGAGTAAACAAAAACAAAGACTGTGTATTAATGCATCATCAAATGTGGTTGCAATGGAAGTCAACTACTTTTTATATTGAAAATACGTCATTTGGTGTGTTTATTTTTTAATCAAATCCATGACATCATTTGTGAACTTGGCAATTAAACAGTTGTCTAAACAATTTAGTAGTTTTGATCAGGACTGAGGTTGATTAACAGATTTAAGAAAAATATTTATCTGATGCATTTTACAGCAGTTTAATTTAGCGTATGTTTTCAACCCTAATGTAACAAAAGGGTCCATTTAAACAGTGCACAAGGGGTTAATTGCTAAAGTGCTTGTTTGAATTTTTTTTTTACTTTCAGTATATATTCAATATCATTGTGTTTTAGTGATTTCACTGCTTTTAATATTTAGGATTTTTTTTATTTTATTTTAATGATATTAATTTACAAGTTAGTAAATTTGAGTCTTTTAGATGGATTTTTGAAGGTTTTTATTATTATTAAGATTATTATTAGTAGTAGAGGTATTGTTAAGGACATAATAATATTACAGTTTTTCTCAGTCGCTTTGGTGCATTTCTGACAACACTTTTTACAGTAGCACAACAGGTCATGCATTTCTCAAAGTTAGTCATTTGTGCACATCCTAGTAGCAGTTTCTGATTCTTTTCAACAAATTGCGAATGCTTTTGGACATGCATCAGTTGCTTTCATACAACTCTCTGCTATTTATAACATTAACATCTGCTCATGTCATATCAGTCAAAATGAACTAAACTTGTAAATGCTGAATAGTCATTCTATATAAAACGAATAATCCTCATTTCATTACTTGAGTCTTTACATACAAAAATGTTAAACTAGTTGTCAAAATCTGTCAAGCCAATTTTTTTAAACAAATTAAAATCTTTATTTTCCTGAAAATGTCTTTAAAATTGATCAATTTGATGAAAGATTTACAGACCTGTGTATGTTGTAGGCTCAGTTCCAATATGTACTGCAATATTGTGTACAGCTGTGCACAGCTCTACCCAAAGGGAGTTTATGTTTGTTGTAAATAAGGGTGTATTTATTCTTTTGCACAGTGCTGGGAATAAATTAGCATTGAAAAGAGCAAATGCAGAGTAAAAATGTGAAACATACATATTCAGTGTCTTGTACTTAGATATCTCACTAAATGCAGTGATGTCCAACTTTACTGTAGTTTTCAAAAGGCTGTGCTGACACTTTGATGACACTGACACTTTGATAGACATGAATACTTGCTTTTGAGAAATGAACTATCCATTTTGAGCATGTGACGCACTTTTGCAGGTTATCAGCTAGGTTTTGCAGTTTGTACTAATTGTTTTGAGAAAATCATTAAATGTTGTGCAAAAATGCACTAGTGTTGTGGGAAACGCACCAAAGCGACTGAGGAAAAACTGTGATAATTATTATTCATTTTTAGTTAAAGTATTGACTATCTCAACATGGTCTGTTTGTTTTAGGTAGTCTTGACTAAAAAAAAAAAAAAACATATCCTATCAACCCTGAGATCATGCAAGACTGATTTTTATGTGGGGAAAAAAATCTAAATTATTATTATTATCATTATTATTAATTTTAGGCTTGTCTTAAGCCCTCAAAGGCTTGCCTTGATCTCAACATGGTCTTTATTAGTTTTAGGTAGTGTTTACTATAACACAAGCCTTAAAAATCCGAAAAGAAATATCCTGATCAACACTGAGATGCAAGTCCCTAACTAAGCTGTGGTTTTGTGTAATTTTGGGTGGGAGAAAAAAAGTCGAGCCAGCCAGGAGTCGAACCTAGAATCTTCTGATCCGTAGTCAGACGCGTTATCCATTGCGCCACTGGCCCGTCTGAAGATTTCAGGGTGAATAGAAGGTCTTTGGACAATACCCGACATGTTAATGCTGTAATATTTGGTCAAAATAGGGTGGTGTAAACAGCAAAAATGGCGTGAAACGTTATGTCGTGAGCGTAAATGAGTAAAACGCGAATCGCTATCATCTTTAGCTTCTGTATTGCGAAAAGATTAGCCGTCTTTGCGTTTTTGTTTTTTAATCGTGTCTCTTAAATATAACTATGAGAATGTAATTGTAATCAAGCAACGTTGTTGGTAAACCTGAATAATTTGATTTAAACCACTCAAATGCCTCGTTTTTGCAAAGTATGCGATCTTTTGTCCAATTGCGCTCTCTTCTGCTTGATTTGTGTTGGTGATATGAAGAGAATCAGGAATAGAGCTGCGCCCTCTGCTGGTACAGAAATATATTGCACTCACGCTTTACCTTACATGGTCTGACATGTGACTTAATACATTGTTTCATCGGCCTCGTGGCCTAATGGATAAGGCGTCTGACTTCGGATCAGAAGATTGCAGGTTCGAGTCCTGCCGGGGTCGAAGCTTTTAGACTTTGAGAGCAGCCTTCTGTTTGTTATATGGCGATGGCGTCGTGTAAACATGCCAATGACAGGGTATTTTAACGATTTCGGTCGTGATTTTTAAACCGACTTTTTTCTCAACCTATTTCTAACATTAGGCTTGCGTTTTCATATTGGGGTCTGGGCAGAAAATTATTTCTGCATCAGTAAATAGTTTATTAAGACATAAAAAAACAAGCACATGCATTTATAAGAAACA